AACTAGTTAATCAAGAGTAATTCGCATACGTTGATCTAATATTGAGGAATTTACCCCAATCCAGATTTAGTATCAAACGTACTGTATGGAATGTTTCATAGTTTCCTGGTTAAATATGTCTTCATCCTTAGCACCGTTGCTGTGGCAGTACCTATAGATGGTTAGTTGAGATATTAAAGCACGTGTATTAGCTACTTACTCTATCCAAATTCTTCTGGCGCTTTCATAGCTGCGCTTTGTGCTGGGTTGTAATTCACTCCATACCCTTTCTTGACCCCGAGAGCTTTTATCAGGGTTAAACCCCTTTTTCTGAAGCCTTCGGGCCCTCTCGTTAGGGCTTATCTCCTTGCGTATTGTATCTAGAATTCCAACTATAGATATTTATTGGATATTAAATGTATCAAGGAGAGTCTATCGCCCTATAGGTGAGCGTAAAGAAAAGAGAGAAAGAATAGGAAGAAAATACGGAGAGCGCGAAGAAGATGGAAATTAGAAAGGAAAGGAGAAGCGCTTTCCACCCCTAAGGTGGAGGGCATACTGGATGGCAGTCCCGTCGTATAGATTTAACAGTGGTTAAAGCGCTTACATAGATTAATGCATTTTGGTTTCGTGTGCGTGAAAAAGGTGTAGAAATCCAAAGAAATTAATACGAATCCCTCGCCTAACTAAGCCACATAGTTCTATTAGATGGGGAAATAGACACGTATTTGGGCAATTAGTTTAGTGGTATAACGTCCGTTTTGCATACGGAAGGTCGTGATTTCGATTATCACATTGTCCAGGTTTTAGTTTTGACATTTTTTTTTCCCCTTCTTGCAGAATGCATTTTTTATCGTATTTGGTGTCTCCAAAAAATATTTTATCTATCATAATGATAGTCTCTACCAAAATACTGGTCTCCTTATGTTCTCTGGCAAGCGCTGGAGCCTGGTTCTCCAGGGCTGGATATGAACCACGTGACGGCGCGTTTTTATCGCGACGACGTCACCAGAACGAGGCACGATGGAGTTGGAATAGTCGATATCTCACTGGAAGATGGGGAAAACCGCCAATGATGGGGATATGAGTGGCTCGAACGACTCATGCTCATGGGATTGTGTCTGCATATTCATTTCTTCTAACTACCATGGAAAATCGGGGAAAGAGAAAGCGAGATGATGCAGACGGGCAGGATTCAACTCCCCCTGTCAAGGACCATGGTAGCACTGATAATGGGGGCCTAGCGAAGAGAGGAACGTCCAATACGTCTTCACACTCTAATGTCTCTTCTCGCTCAGTGCCTCCCTTTGCAATACCATGGCCGGAGGAGTTTAAAGCCTTGAGCAGGATTCATCGGGCACTAAATGTGGTATATACGTTCTGCTGCACTCGTCAGCATTACACCACGACGTTCGAGAGAATAAGGAGCTCTGTTGAGTCCCAAACTGGCGGTCGGCCACTTACTATTGAAGATGTTGCCAAAGTAAAATTTCTCATTCCACAGTCTGTTAGGTTCGAGCTTTCAGATTCAGGTGTGATCAGTATCATGGGAATGGCTGAGGCCAGGAAAAAGAAAGTCCCTGAGATATGGAACGACTGGGAGGCAGAGGGAATGGGTTCAAATGGTAGCGATGGCAGAAAAAGGCCTCCCGATGCCGAACTTCTCTTTGAATTTGTCGACGGGGACCTCAAGCCCGAGTCGCAGCCAGGTGTAGGTCTGGGCGGTTATGAGGATATCAGGACGCCAGTCTACAGCCAGAAGAAAATGGTTGCACTGATTGAAAAGAGAAACAAAAAATTTACCACTGCTATTGATACCTTTTTAGCTAGCTGCCGACAAGAAAATGTCGATCCAGTACAACGTCTTGAAGCCGAAAAGGATATATATATGCCTCTCTCTCCCGACAGTGGATGCAACACGCCAGCTGCTGCGAAACTTCCAGCACAAATACCCAAGATAAGACGAAGCATTACAGAAATCATTTCAGAAATAAAAGAGCAAAGCTGGTATCATAACCAGATAGTAAAAGGCGGGTATCGCATATTCGATGCTAAGAAGCCAGTTTTTGGCGATTTGGATTTCCTTCTCTCACAAAACTTGGTCAATGCACTTTACAATACCCGGGGGATTACACAGTTCTACTCCCATCAGGCAAAAGCCATCAATGATCTTCATGATGGCCACAACGTCATTGTTTCCACATCCACTAGTTCGGGGAAGTCCCTCATATATCAAGTGCCTATGCTTCACGAACTTGAGAAAGACGCTCACAGCAGAGGGATATATATCTTCCCAACAAAGGCACTGGCACAAGACCAGCGCCGAAGTATGCTTGACATGCTGCAGTATATGGAAGGGTTGGAACATATCATGGTAGAAACATTTGATGGCGATACGCCAATGGCAAGTCGCAATGCAATCCGTGAGGAAGCGAGAGTTATCTTCACAAACCCTGATATACTCCATGTCACTATCTTGCCCAATGAATCATTGTGGAGAAAGTTCTTGAAAAATTTAAAGTACGTTGTTGTTGACGAGCTTCATGTCTACAATGGACTTTTTGGGACTCATGTTTCCCTCATCATGCGTCGCTTGAGAAGAATATGCGCTTCGATAGGGAATTCTGATGTTAAATTTATTTCATGCTCTGCAACAGTGGCGAATCCAGAGGAGCATATGAAGGCTATTTTTGGGATTGACGAAGTTAAATTGACAGATATTGACGGATCACCCTCGGGACGAAAGGAGTTTCTTTGCTGGCAGACACCGTATAAGGATCCTAATGATGCTAGCTCTGGTCGCGGAAGTAGCATCGATGAATCAGCCAAGATCTTTTGTCAACTTATCTTACGGGGAGTACGGGTGATCGCATTCTGTCGTATCCGCAAGCAATGCGAATATTTGTTGAATGCGGTCAAAGATGAATTTCGTACACTTAATAGGTCAGATGTGTCTCGCTTCGTTATGGGTTATCGGGGAGGCTACAGTCCACAAGATAGACGAAAGATTGAACGCGAAATGTTTGAGGGCAAGTTGCTCGGAATTGTGGCAACAAATGCACTGGAGCTTGGTGTTGACATTGGGACATTGGACGCCGTAATCACGCATGAATTCCCACACTCGATATCCAATTTTAGACAGCAAAGTGGACGAGCGGGAAGAAGAAATAAAGACTCTCTGTCGATCTTGGTTGCTGGTCAGAGCGTAGCAGACCAGCACTATATGAATAACCCCGATGACCTCTTCACGAAACCCAATTGCGGACTACTCGTTGATCTAGAGAATGAGCTTGTTCTTGAAGGCCATGTTCAGTGTGCTGCCTTCGAAATGCCAATCCGCCCAGAGAACGACTCTGCATATTTTGGGTCGCAGTTGGCGCATCTTGCAGATACTCGACTAATAAGGGATGACATGGGATTCTATCATTGCCATGAAAGATTTAGGCCCAATCCCTCGAAATTTGTTTCAATTAGAAGCATTGATGAGGATATTTACGCTATCATAGATACCACGAACAACAGAAATGTTGTCATTGAAGAGATTGATGATGCTCGCGTCTTCTTCACCGTATACGAAGGAGCCATATATTTCCATCAGGGAAATACCTATCTTGTGAAGGAGCTTAATACAACTAAACGGTTTGCAAGAGTGGTTCGCGCACATGTCGACTGGATCACTGAACAACGAGACTTTACAAATGTTGATCCGATTGAAACCGAAGCAATCAGACGTATCAGCAGATTATCTGACTATAGGGCCTTTTTTGGCAAAATTGCCATTCACACATTGGTATACGGATACTTCAAAAAGGACAAGAAGGGCAGAATACTTGATGCCGTGGCTCTTGATACTCCTCCTATTGACAAGATGAGCAAGGGCCTCTGGCTAGATGTGCCAAAGACGGCTTTGGAAATCCTTTCATCTCATAATTTGAATGCCGCTGCTGCTATCCATGCAGCAGAGCATGCAATCATGTCACTCCTTCCGACTTTCCTAATATCCTCACCAGGAGACATTCGAACAGAATGCAAAGTCGCAAAGAAAGAACTAGGGCCAAAACACCAGCAGGCACGGGGCTCTAATCGCGATCAAGACCCAAGGACACGAAACCATTCCTTTCATCCCCTTGCACCCCCCACACCACGTCGCCAGAGACAGGCACGACTTGTTTTTTACGATGCAAAGGGAGGCTCATCCGGTTCTGGAATCACCTCTAAAGCCTTCGAGTTTATAGACAGCCTTCTTGTTCGTGCTAACTCGCGCATTGATACGTGTACTTGCACAACTGCTCAAGGCTGTGTAGAATGTGTTTGCAACGAACTTTGCCCTGAAATGAACCTTGTTATAAGCAAGGCTGGTGCTTCTGTGATATTGAAATGCCTCCTTGGTTTAAAAGTTGACGTTGATTCTTTACCATGGGGAACGGAACTTGATCGAGGGTACGAGCCTGGCCCCCGGAGTGAGTTGGCTCAAGGTCTAGAAACCATCATTGAAGCTGTCGAGGTTGCTGGAGCTTCTGGGAAAGAGATTAGGATCTATGACCTTGACACTTAAAATTGGTACCATATAATTTTGGTGAAGTTAACCGTGTGCATGGAAAATTGAAGCAGTGTTGCTTTATTTCTAAGCTTTCCATACGGATGATAATCTATTAGTGTTATCCTATTTAGCAAATATGACTTACGGATTACAGAACAAGCTTCGAGGCCAACCAGTCCGGATGCCAACGCCGAGCCTCAACTTGAGTATCAAAAAATTGTGAAATTCACATCAATTATCTGACCTAGATAGACTAAACATCAAAGGTGTGTCTCTATCAATGTCTCTCCCTAAATTCTCAAGCTATTTTACAAATAGTATCCTCGAAGTCACGTCGCTACATGAGCGGTATACTTCTTCACAAAATCACCAACGCCAAAATATAGAGAAAGCTGCTTGTCATGTAAACTTCCCAACGCCTCCAAGCGCAAGGCGTAGTGTCCAGATGCAGTGCGCAATACGGAGAGCACAAATACATGGAATATCCAATCACAACTATATCTTTCACACTTATTGAAACAGAGGATTTTAGCGTAGAAATGCGGTAGGGGTTTATAAAAGTGTCGCATATTTCGCAATCTGCGAAATTGCGCTTGTAAGAAAGATAGTTATCTCAGAAAAAATCCTGCAGCTAAAGTTAGGGATAGGGCGTGCTCTGCCGTTCAAGGCGGAGATTGCGGAGGTGATAGTCCTTGATGGGATCCGCTATGCGCACTTGGTGTGCTGGCCTGACTGCTGTCGTCGGAACAAGTCATTCTACCGAAGAGAGACCGGATATCCCTCACTGCTTCCCTGAAATTGTCTCTGGGATTCGTAGTACGTTCTGACGTCCACTCTCGGATTTCTCGAACTAATTTAGGATATCCTTCACCATTTGGCAGCCACCAATCTGCAACTTCAGGGACCTTCCAGATGTCAGCTACCCTTTTTCGGACTGCAGGAGGATATATATATCTATATAAAAGGTGGTTAATAATGGCCCAAATCACAAAAAAACTTATTATTCTAGAAAAGTATACAAAAAAAAAAAAAAAAAAAAAAAAAAAAAAAAAAAATAGAAATAAAAGACCAGGGGGTGGGGGGTTTGTTCCAACTTACCCCTGTTGCTCTATTTCTGCAAGCCTTTTCCGACACCACATTCTATAGCGGTCATCAGGTGGAATGTATAGGCAAATAAGCCCCAGTACATTGTGAAACATTAGGGGGAACATTGGATCCTTGGTAGGCAACCTGTTTATCGTCTCGACCAGCTGGCATTGCTCCAATGCAAATTTCGACATCTCGGCGGGTTCCAGTGTTTGTGTGATCAAATCGATCTGGCAGTTGTACATAAGAAGACTGCTTCGGAGCTCCAGTTTAACTAAATCCACTTCACTGAATGGACCAGTATGAACCAATCCTGGAACGTAGGGATCGACAATATCGTCCGCCCCTAATGGCATCTTCTCTGGATAGTCCATGACAAGATACTTTGGATCATTAAATTCACCAATCTTGTGGATCATTTCTCTCATTGTCTGCGTGAGCATTCCTGATTCGGCAAGGAATTCTTCTCGCGAGATAATGCTCTGAGAAACATTAGCTAGAAGAGAGGCTATCTCGACCGCACATCGCTTGTTACTTGCACAAAAGGCAAAGAGCTGCTTGCTCAGAGAGTCAGGATCATCTGCCGCTTCCTGGTAGGCTTGCTTCTCCGCTAGTATATACCACTCTCGACCTAGGATTGTGGCATTACCAGCCATTAAACCAGCCATAATATCGTACCGCATATTCCAGTGGATGATGTGGATGCGAAACCTGTCGTCCAAGATCGTGTCCGGTGAGTACATTTGAAGAATCATCTGATGAGCTGCATGATGATGATCTATCAGATTGACCCAGTCTCCAACGTATTCCTAAATGCAAAACACTTAGCAGATTAATAATTAACCGTTTTGAGAATAAGTGGGATTATACCTCGAAAGTTGTTAGTTGAAGTATAGTGAGAATCGTGGCATCTCCGTGCGGCTGACGACTTTTCAAAGAACTAAGCAACGATGAAACGGATTTGTTGTAATATTGGAGAAAGGTATAAAGTCGGCCGTTAGGATGTTTAATAGAATAATGGTAGGCAGAAAATGCAACCAAGGCATAAAGAAGAGGTTTATATTCCAAGGCGTATTTTATCAGGTCTTCACTAATGAATTTAGCAGCAACAGATTTCATCATGTAGTGTGAGTGCGTAATATGCTGCGTATGATATTTTAGGAAGAATTTTATATCGTCACTAAAGCCAGGGGTATCTGCAACGCTAGACGCAGAGTCCGGGGTATCATCGGGTTGATCCCAGCAAATATTGGCATGGGCTGTAGGGCTGTGGGACCTTGTGGAATGCACTGTCGTATCGCTGGCGGGGGATGCACTGGTATCTTGAGTGGTAATCCAGGCATCTGAATTAACCGATTTCTGCTTCTGGCTGGTATTGGTAGATCGGCGAGTTCCGGGGCTTTCCCTGGTAGTTTTACCTGGACGTCGCACTGCTGCGTGGTCAGGCGATTTTGCCCTTTGGGAGCTGCTAGATGTAGCTTGCCCAGTATTTTGGCCCTTCTCGGCTTCCCCACCTTCAGGCTCGCTTTCAGCAATCACTGGACAGGACTCTTCAACCTTCACGCTATGTCTCTTTGTTGATTTCGGAACCTGCGGGGGCGGATAGATACACTCCCGTTTTCCTTTTCCACAACCTAGATATAAGATTGTCAATACGTATTCTATAACCATCTCTACTCAATAGTACGGACTGGGGTAAAGTTGACAGAGAAAACGGGGTAACGGCGAGGAGTTGGGTGCGCTAGACGTACGATCACAGGTAGGACGTTTCTCATCACACTTTGCGGCGTTACCGTTAGCGGGCTACAGGGCAAGATTAGGGATCAGGTTGGATTTACCTTAACGCGACGGGCACGGCAGGTATAGCAGCCACTTCTCGTACGTTTGTGCTTCTTATGCTCAGGAACTGCGGGGGAAGCCGGCATGGACTGTCCATGAAAGGCTTCTTGAGGGGAAATTGGCTGGTTTGGAAGAGAATTTGGGTGATGCCAGTATCTCAGTGGATGTTGATATATTTGTTGGTGACTCTGTACGTCCAACCCGCTGTACCAATAGTTCGGTGTAAGTCTCACGCTTCCAAACCCCAATGGTTGCAAGGGTTGCGGGCCAGAGTTGGGGTTTGTAGGGTGGCCATCAATTGAATCGGAATCCATTTTGATAGTGTTCTTGATTGTAAACAAAGTTGTATAGACCTCTAGGATAAGGTATCGAGCCTATGCAAGACGTCACGCAACAAGAGTCAAACACATACGTCAAATGGATCCGGTCCGCAGAAACTAGTCGGGGGTTGAGGAACTTTGGGCCTGGAATGAATATGAGGGTTAATATGGGAGCACGGAGAGATTGTTGAGGGCAAGTTCAAGAGGAGTATGTGAATATATAAAGATCAGCTGGGATAGGGAAAGAGGCCCAATTCCATAACCTTATCATGCGGCTTTTTCCTTCATAGTTGTTGATATAATAATATAACACTAGGAAGTGAAGAAGAAGGAACGAACCCTTTACCCGAGCGTAGAGGTCAAGATCGTGATTGCGAGTACTTTCCCGGACCCCACACAAAGATCAACCAAGGATCACTGAAGATATAAGGTCAAGGGAGGGAGCTCGTTATAGAAAAAGAAAGAGAGAGATAGAAGGAGCTAAACAGATGTGGCCTTTTCCTGGCGTAATTCTGAGACACGATGCTAATCGCGTATTTTCAAATTGTTGGTAACCTTGTACACCACGAGGCAAAGACAATACGGAATTTCGTATGGTTAGATGACTAGTGGTGCAGGAAGCACATGGCTTCCGTCTGCCGGGGTGCACGCATGGGATGACGGGGGAACAAAAGCGAAGAAACCGGAGGAAAAGCAAGGAGGATTGGATGACGGAAGTAGCTTCGCACTGCTTTCTTTTTCAGCAGCCTGGTAAAGACTGGACAGCGGGAGGGGAAAGAAGAAAAAGCAAAGCCCTGAGGGTCCGGGTGATACTAAACAGGTCAAGCTTGGAAAAAGAGCCTTTGAGAGATATTGAATGTATGACGATGAAGCGAGTGGTGGTCGTAAGAAGAACGACGGGCTTACCATCACTTGCAAAGACAAAAAAGAAAAAAGGTATGGACAGCCACAAGGGGTAGAAGTATGCGGGTTGCACGACCGATGATGGCGGCGGAAATGGTAAGCAGGGAATGGACGGAGGGCAGAAGGCCAATAGGGATAATAATAATGGCGACGAAATTGGAAGAGCAGAATGAGTTGCTTATACCTAGGTTCATGCCGAAGATCGCAAACCCAGAGGGTACATGTCAAGAGGCATGAATGCGGAGTCTCGCGCACAGTAAGAAACGCCGCACGCCGCTTTGAGGCGAGAGGCTGGGAAGGGAGCACCTGTCAACGAATCAGGGAAGTGAAGTAAAACGAGCCGCGATCTCCTCTTGTTCCTTGTCGACTGTCTGTTTGGATATGACTTCGAGAGACAAGAGTTTCAGCAGGAATGGCGGGCCATAACATAGTGTGGCTGGGTGGGCGTATATTAGCCAGGATCGTCACATCATGCGTTTCTGATACTTACTCCGAAGCAGGTAGAGGTGCCCGCTGTCACTAAGCATAATTTGGGGGTAGGTGAGAGAAGGCCTGGAGTACTCCGTACGGGAGAGATGATGGCCCAAATAAAAGGAAAGGAGAAAAAGGAAAGAAACGAGAAAAGAAAAGAAGCAATTATTTCATCCCTCTCCATCACAACGACGAAAAAATGTCGTTCCACATAGGTGGAGACTGGAACGACCATATACCACATATAGCCCAGGGAAAGTATTATTGTTCACAAGCCAAATCAAGAATCCCTGTTCCAGGTCCTCTCGACGGGGAGATCATCTCCACGGGTGAGAAAGGGCGACGATTGGATTTGCCGTTTTTTCATTTCTTTCTTTTTCTTCCTCCACTTCCTTTCGCTGATTCTTTTTTCACGATCTTCGGCGCCATCATGCTTACTGAGGACTTCGAGACCAACGGTAGTGCTGAAAGTTGAAAGAGTTCATGTTGAAGAAGTTTAGCCATGGGGGAAAAGGAGCGTTACTCACTCCTAACTGGCTGGAGAGCTTCGGGCCCGAGATTTCTAATACACGAGACCCTGTTGGTGTGTGATGTAGTTTCCTTCATAGTAATTTTAGCTGGTAATCGTTCTATGATTGATGAGTACTTGGTATCTCGTGGATGTGACTTTCCTTGCATACTCTGTGGTGTGAGAAGCACCCCACAAAGCTCGGCCAGCGAGACAGCTTAAACAGGATTCAAGGACTCCGTCATTATTATCGCTGGATATGCTTTTCCATATCCCTGAGAAAACATTTCGTGCATCTCCTTGCTAGGATTGTTTCTGCTTGTCTCTCGGTCGAGCAATCGGGCTCCTATCAAATACAACCTTGTTCCACGGCTTTCTTTGCAAAGCCCCATTTTATATTCCTGTAAGAGCGTTGCCGGAAGATCGGGACGGGGAATCAACCTGTTCGCCGGGGCAATACAGTTATTATTGTTTATACACGGCCAAGAGCTCGTCTTGAACGTGTTTGAAGACGGCAAAGGAGCTGCTGGCTCTCACGTTTCTTTTCCCCTTCTTCTGCTTTTGTGCCTTTTATTTTCTTCTCCAAGACGACGATTACGGAGCAATGACACTGGATTGACACTCGTATTCTCGCTCTCTTCTCGCCACTAGCTTGTTTCTTCTCCTGCGCCGTCGCCGTTGCGCGCGTGCTTGGTGCGTTTTGAGCTGGCGCTGCTGTCAGAATTTATCGAGGACGTCAAAAGACCCGAAACGGGCGAAGCGCGCCTTTCCCCAGACTGGAAGCTCCAGCCACCGCCTTTTTATTCTGCCGTTATCAAGAAAAAGAAGAAGAAGAATCTTCAACGTCGGCTTCATTTCGTCCAGTCTTGTGTCCCTTCCTGCTTCATCTTCAGGCGTCAATCCTCCACTGTGCCCACACCTCTCATGCCCCGGCGATGCCAGAAAGAGGTAGTGCCTCCGGTTTGGCGCAGATCTCGAAAGGTTTCATCAACCACGATCTCGTATCTCAGGGGGGCCTGGGCAGATCCAGAGCTTCGTCCGCCTAGGCACCAGCTCTCTTCCTTTTTTTTCGCCATCAACCGTTTATAGCGACATCAGCAAGCCACGGTGCGCCTTTCATTGTTGCACTTGGGCTTGTTGGTGCCCAGAAAACGCCGTCGAGGAAGCCAAAGTCATGGTCCGGTTGACCAACCAACCAGTTTGGCTCCACCATGGCTAGTTCACGAAACCCAAGCGACAATAATAAGATGACGGCTTCCTCCTGTGCCTTGTGTCCCTTAAAATGAGGCCTCAGCACCCCTCAGGTAGCCATCTGTACCGCAACATGAACAGATTATATTTTGGCGGCCTCTAGAACGCCGACGTTCGGATGACCTTGTATGAAGAACTTTGGGCTACAAACCTGTTCGTGGTGTCGCCCCTCTCGATCTAGACCTTATACCATGCAAATATTTCCAGAGTATTAATGACTATGATATAACTAGTAGTTGATTATCGCATCCAGATCTTTACCGGGTCTCAGCCGAAAGCTTGTGATAGACAAGTTCCCGTCCCCAACGATGGCTCGTTCTAGCGGCCAACCTTTGATCGCCATCAGAACTCAATAATAAAATATATCATATCATGTATTCCTCTCGAGACGTCTGTCTGCGTATATACGCTAAGTCTGCACCTGTACTTAGCTAAAAAGGGCGTACCCTCTTTGTTCCTTTTTGCCTTTTGTGACCTGATAAACTCAGGAACTAACTCAGTTCAGGCACCATTGAACTCTCATTAACAACGTTCGACCGATGAGAAGATAATAATAATTACTAACGAAATGAGTTGATCTTTCAGAAAAGCTACCGCTAGCTGCTACCATACAGCGACCATAATAGGTAAACGAAACCTAAATAAGCTTTGGGCGAAGGAAGATATAATAAAAAGGAAAACAAGGGAAAACACCAACTACAGGAAGCTTTCATCATCAATTTTTGCCCACGAACCAGCTAACATTTGCCTAAGGTGTCAAATACCGACCTCTTCCCGCTCCAGCTTATATATGCAGAGCAACATCTCCCCTCTGATGAGGAACCAGCTCAGCCTGGAATGTCAGGCCCCATACGGAGTGCAGTTTGTAGATATACTGTAGCTACGAAGCAGGTCCAGGAATGCGCTCCTGTGCGAATATGCGATAGCCTCGTATAATACTCCATACAACAGTTAAGTTTGACGAAGGAGCAGCCGAAAGGACTGGCTTCATACTCTGTACGGATGAAGTGCTTGTGCTACACATTCCACAGATGCCGAGATTAGCAGAAGTGTCTTTGTCTCCTGCGTTCAAAGGAGGGGGAAAAAAGAATCTGGAGTGAGTCGTTACTAAATATTCTGTGTAACCGGCTTCATATCCACCGACCGTTCCGTGAAGTCATGCAATGCACTACCTACGGATCACGGAACAGCGGACTTCCATCCATTGAAAAAAAGAAAAAAAGAAAAAAAAAAGAAAGTGAGGAAAAAGTAAAAAGGAAAAAGAAAGATTATGCAGGTTTTCCGAAGAGGTGATGTATATCTATTGACCTCCTACTCCTACCTTGAATGTGTTGATAAAGATTCAAGGGGGACAACTCCAAGATCCAGCCAGGTGAGTAGATTCTCCAAAGCCGAGACATCAAGGTACAAACTAAGAATTATGAGAAGTCAGTTTTTAGGAACACATATATAGCCTCTGCCTAGCATCTCAAACATAGAGTCCACGAGTCCACATGGATCGAGCAGAGTACCTCGTTCAAATTACGATAGAAGAAATATTGGAAGGAAAAAGAAATTCCAAAGCGGAAGAGAAGCCAAAGAACGTGGTATTCACAGCCTAGCTTCGAGTTGCCCGAGTTCAACTAATAAGAAATCTCCGGCGGATAAGATATGCAGGCGCTCTCTTACTCCGCGCTCATTGTCGATTAACATATTACTTACGTACGAAGGAAAAGAAACAAGACTGTCCAAGGTTTCCCAACCCGTAAGAGCTGCAGACACGGTCGTACATGTTGCCATCACGCTGAGGCGAAGCACTTACTCGCGCAGATACCGGATTAACTGTCGTGAACAGAATTCTTTTAGGGAGTCATTCGAACAGGTTCGTACTCCCAAGAAGCTGCAAGTTTGATGTCATTTTCTCCTAAAACTTCTGGATTTTGGAGTTGCTTAGGCCGTTAGGGCTTTATGTCACAGTATTCACATTCGCGCTCTGCAGCACTTAGTGCCTGCCTGACTCGTATTTCTCGACATTTCTCCCTCTGCTTTATTGGCATCGCTGTGCATACGGCATCTAGTAGTCCAAAGGAATCAGATCGTCTTTAGTGGTGGCATGCAGAAGGCAGAGTTAATGGTCAAAATATATTGCCAAGATAGCGTGGAGGATAAGCAACTCATTCCTTTTTACTCCATCCTATGTATGGCCCCCGGATTCTGGACAGTGACAAAGCGCAAGTGAAGTATCGAGCCGGTCCGCCAGTTGAGCGAGATCAGCGTTCGGTCGCAGAGTGATTCGTCTATTGATGCTCTCGAAGGGGAATAACTCGCTGTCTAGCTTGCGGTGGCTTGCATCAGGACACCCACGCTGTCGTTTCTAGCTGCTATCTCCGGAGAATTCTGGGTTTGAAATTCTTGCTGGTAGCTAAAAATACGCAAGTCTTTCTTCACTGATCAAACTTTGGCTTTACCAATCAAGTATACCTAACTCTCTAGGGCGGATGCCACATTGCATTTCGGCCGAGCTTTGAAGCAATGTAGAAGCTTTACTGAGTCATCCCAGATTGCTGTATATTCCAAACAAATCAGTATTAAAGATTATCAGCGGATATAGACCATGAACTACTCCGTATAGCATAAACACTCGACGTTGGGAGTGGAGATCTTTGGAGTATATTTTCCTCAAACAATTCCGGATACTACGTAGAGGGGGCCGTATGGCTCAAGATCCACTTGGTTTATTTATTGGTTACACAAGTCACATTATTTATCGTCTATCTATATAGCATTGCCAAAAGATAAACAACCAAGACCAGTGAAGGATTTTAACCTGGGAACCGGTTGTTCCGTGAAGCACGCAATTGTTTATACTCCATGTCTAGTTTTGGTAGAATGCAGTGCATCATTAGTCGGGTTTAATATTGACAACCGATGGCAGGTCTGGAGATAAATTTCGGTACCCACAGCCTAGTAAAATCTTCGTATAATCTTTTAGTTTAGTTAACACTTCTTTGCCGGAAAGTCCGAAACAAGACGGAGTCTTGCAAAATTGCATAGCAACCGGCAATATTCACCCGCCCTGGTAATAATAAATTGTAAAAATAAAGCGTAAAAAAAAATAAAAAAATAAAAAAAAATAAAAAAAAATCCGGTATGTGTGCTGGTCTTGAAAGGATTTGGAGGAATAATGAATAATATCCAGGAGTAGGGGAGTGGTGCATAGTCGGCCTAGCCCGTACAGCAATATACGTGGTGGATGGGTGATAAGTTATTATTGCAATGAACTGCTGAGACTGTCTGTAGGCTGTGGTCTTGTGTGTTTGTTGCCTCAAGTATATATAAGACGAGAAAATGGATATAGTAAAGCAGCAAGAATATTTACCATTGGTTTCTGGGAGATCCTCATGTGAGAACTACGCCCTAGGTGAAGAGAAATATTCATTATCCATAGTCGCGTATATTTCCAACTGGTGGAGTGAAGTTCTTTCGCTGGATATCTTCGGGGGGTTGCCCTAATTTAGGGTATAGTCAACTCGTCAATTGGTAGCTTGGAGCGTAGACAGTTCAACTGTGACCGGCTCATTTTTCCTAATACCTGTTTCTGTCTCAACATGTTCTGTATTAAGAACTTGCTTCGAGATTAAGAGACTCGCAAAAGCACCGCATGCAGCTAAACATGCGGCTAGAATCCAGATATACCGAAGGCTGGATGCGAAAGCCCTTTTTACCACAAGTTTCTGAGTCAGGTCTGAAATTTTCTTAATAACATCCACATTGGCAGCGGCAGCATCACCAGAGAGCTGCTCAACAACAGTTTCAGGCAAGCCTGCGTTGTTCAGACCTTGAGTTCTCATTCGCATACCATTCTGGAAAAGAACACCGCCTAGAACAGTAGCCATGAAAGAGCCTATGTTCTGGTGCAAGTTAAACGTTGCAGTCGCAGTTGCTGTGTCGTCTTGAGATACCATAGCTTGAAGTGCCAGTAATGGGGGATCGAAGAGCATCCCTGCGCTAATTCCTGCAATAGTTTCTATACCAGCAATTTCGGCAAGGGATGACGTTTCACTAAAATCAATATGTAGTCCAATACCAAGAGCAAACAGAACGGTGCCTGCTCGAATAATTTCGATATATCGACCAGTACGATGAATTATCAAACCGCATATGATTCCAGTGACACTCTCAGTAATTGTCATGGGAAGTATAAGCACACCAGATCGAGTGGGGGAAGCCTCCCATATAGTTTGGAAAAATAGAGGAAGATAGAATTCAGTCGCTTGGACTCCCTAATAGGCAAAGATAGTTAAATCAATTGTGCACGCAGGATTGATACTTAGGGTGCATCTTACAAATAACTGTGTAAACCCAATTATGACACAGGCGACATTGGACTTGCGTTGAAATAGTTTCAACGGCATTAGAGGATACTTTGATAGCCGTGCCTGGCTAAAAACAAAGATTCCAAGCATTGCGCATCCAGAGACAATTAGAAATATAACTCTAGGTGAGTCCCAGGGGAATAACTCTCCACCAAAGTTTAATCCCAGTAATGGCATTGAGAGGGCTCCGATAATGGCAATACTTCCAAACCAATCAACCGCTTTGATACCTTCTATAAAAGGAGTTCGGGGATTATGGACGTCCAGAAAGAATAACAATAGGATGAAAGATGTCCCAGCCACTGGAAGGTTGATCCAGAATATCCACCTCCACGATATGTACTGGGTTAATGCGCCACCAAGGACAGGGCCAACACCTCCAGCAACTGCCCAAATTGCCTGTAGAAATCCAAGATATAGCGCTCTTTGCCTGTATCTACTATTAGCTGAGCCATCATTGACTTAGACCACAGTGGGTCGTTGATTCCGTGAAAAGTAAGCAAACGTACCTCATACTGAATATATCTGAGATGGTGATCATGACCAGCGGCGTTATGCCTCCACAGGTCATGCCTTGCAATGCACGACCTGCAATAAGCATTCCTATAGACTTGGAGGTTGCACAGACGATGGAACTGCAGAAGTAGAGTGCGACAAGCGTGAGAAGGATAGGCTTCCGGCCCCAGATATCTGATAACTTGGCCCACACAGCCAAGAAGGCTGTGTTTCCCAGAGTAAATGCACCGCCTACCCAAGAGTATCCTGCGGCAGAATGAAGATCGGCAGTAATAGTGGGTATAGTAGTAGCAACAATAGTGACATTTAGGGCCGAGATGAAAAGCGTCGACTTGGTATTGCATAAGTTAGCTAATACCATTCTCTATAAAAAGCCACCTAGGACAGGGAGCCACTGGGAGCCATTCTAGGTGATGGACGGTCAGATACTTACAAGGAGAGAGACGAGAACCGCAGTCACTCTGAGTCGGCTGCGATTCTTCCTCGGCTCATGTAAGGGCATGGTTTCAGCGGGTGGTTCTGGCTCTGCATTTGGGCTCATGACTCATATAAGCTGTAATTAAGGTAGCAAATATCATCCGGGCATGGAGAGTCCCTTCTCTTAGAAGGCTCTGGGTATCTCCTGCTATCACTCATTCGCACTCAGTACATCTCCTGCTTCGACTTCTCTGTGGTTTGAACGTTCGGGAATAGCCGCGGCAAAAAAGCCACGCCTTTCTTAGCTAATAACGAGTTAGTTAGCCGCCGCACTAGTTAAAAAAGGGGGCTCTCAAACCCAGTTTCAACGTCGCGCTAAACAACAACACTCAACATCAAACCTCAGGAACCACGGAATGCATGTACACTCTCTACTTTCCCGTTCCGCGGGCGCTGCAGCCGGGATGTGGCTAGACGTGGCATAAGCAAAACAAATGCAACTTGAAAAGAAACACGGGTTTCGATGAAACGAATCATGCTGCTACACAGATTATCAAAGGGACATGACCCATCGGCGGCTAAGGAAGAGAAGTCGGCGAAGAACTAAGGCCAATCAACCTGCGATCACTGGGATACGATACCTAGTTAGCGTTTGGCCTTTAAATCGCACCAGATGCTTCCAGTGCCGAATGCTCTGTCTTGGAATCCTATAAGATGGCGCTAGGCGGAGTTCTCCTTAACTCCTTAGTCGCAGAAATATGATTCACTGCTCTCTTTCCTAGCATCAAGGAGGGAGAGCTTCGGGGGAAAGGGTGCTCAATGCGTCCCAATCCCAGCTGCCAGACTCTTGATCAGCTTTGCTTCATGAGCTTAGCAGAAGCTTGATATCACCCGAGGCTTGGCTCTTCCACCTCGATGGTATTTCACCTTCGCCCCGATAATCTAACGTGCACTGTTTACGGATTATCTGTGTCTTTTCTATTGCAACCACATATCGATACTCATGTTGGACACGAACTCATTTGCCTCTACTCCCTCACAGCGTTCTACCCAACTACGTACTGGGAAAAAAAATCTGCCAAGCACGTGGGATATAAATAACGAGTAAGCTAGTTTGGTTTTTCTGACTAGGCCCTGGGTGTTTGAGCTAAGTGTTAAGCAGGGGTAAACTTATGATACCACCAACAAGCAGCTACAAGCGATCCCCGCCGATATCACTGGAACGCGGGAAAGAAGTGACAACCGGCAACTCCAAATGGATCTAAATCTGCTTTAAAATCAGTTCAGACTTACGGTTGCAACGTTGTTATATAACTAGCATTTTGTATCAGACTAGTGGCGCCGCTTGCCAAGCATGTCCGGAGTGTCATGTTGGCGGAATGCGGAATCTTTATGTGACCTCGAAGTTTTCCGCGTTCAAGTATCACCTTACAGCACGGTGCCCTTCAGTTGGAATCATGAGGCCACTGATGTACCGAATAGGGGGTCCGAAGACGTGTCCCTTGGTCTCAGTAGATTCCTGTGTTTGCATTGCCCCTGTTTCCAGTATCCATGCACTTTACATACCTTTGGAAGAATTCTGGTGCACCGGCAAGCTGTTGGCAATCTGCTAAAATGGTTATTTTCCCTATAAGCTAAACACTACTAACAAAAATGATATCATGCTCACCATTTCGCCCATTCAACCTAGCTAACTACACAGTCGGGAAGTATACTATGTTCTGAGCCATGGAGGTACAATCAAAACCAAACCCAATCGAAGCCTAGTCAAAGAGTATTATCCTGGATCCCTGTTAGGAAGTTAACCTGAATACAATCAGAAAAGTAAGGGCTCCTTAAAAGTGGGATCGGAGCGATCAGATTAAGTCTCGTATGGATTCAGAGCTTCAGCCACTTGTATGCCGACCCTGGGGTTGTTGCTTCCTAGCCAGAGATTCGGGGAGCATGAGCTATCATATATTCTCCCCAACCCTCTTATAAAAAATGGCCCGTATTCTTCAAAGGCTCTAGGTCGATTCTCTGTATTTCCAATTTCCATGAGGCCATGGATGACCGGTATGTTATCCTACATCTTTGGAACGATGACATTCTAACATATCATACAGATTAAGACTGCAGCGCTTGCTGCGGGACAATTGTACGCAAGAACCAGAGGACGCTATCGGTCATCTTCTGGCTTTGTTAAATAAAGAGAATGGACCATGGCCGTTTGGAGACCTCATTCGCAGTTACCAAAGTCTCTGGAAGGGCTTGCCGGTGGCTGTTCGGGATGGCAGTGATTCAGAATGGAACACCACAATAGACCTACTGAAGCTTAGATTAAAGCACTTCGCTCAGCATATGGAAGATCCCTTACACCATAAGTCTCTACGGCCTGCACTAAACGACACTGAAGCAAATCAAGAGATATCCCATGCCGTGCTTCATGAATTCGTCAAACACTTCGACTTGGGCCTTGCTTGCTCTGCTAGCAGAAAACCTCGAGTCATGGTTATCTTGCCCAACGGTCCTTTGTTGGCTCTTGCAGTCCTTGCGGTAGCAAATCGCTATACACTGGTGCCAATGTCAAAGGCTGTGACAGCGGAACAGCTGAAGATGGATATCAAGGCTGTAGAGGCCGATGCGGTTCTCATGCTTGAAGCAGATGTACCAAAGTTTCGAATTGAGTCAGAAATTGCTACCTTCATCGTCAAACCCCAAGACAACCTGATCTTTCGCGTATCCCGTTGGGCCGATGCTAGCTCTTCAACCATTGCTCGTTTGAGGCCTAATGGCCCAGATGATCTCGCTATAATTCTCTTTACCAGCGGAACGAGCGGTACCAAAAAGTTAGTGCCAATCACTACATTCAACCTACTGGCTAGCATTATTTTCACGATGGACAGCCTGGGTTTACAAGATACTTCATCCTGTCTTAACATGATGCCTTTACACCATGTGTGAGTTATAATTATGATATTGTAAAACAGTCAGAATGATCACTAACACTCTTTAGCGGTGGAATGGTACGAAGCTTGTGGGCTCCAGTATTTGCGGGAGGGACTACAATATGCTGCCCTACTTTCGACCCTAGTTTCTTTTGGGACGCTGTTGAGAAGTGGTGCCCGACATGGTACTATGCAACACCAACCATGCACCATATGATATTGGCTGAAGCAGAGAACTGTCAGGAGTGTGTTCACAAAAGCTCTATCAAATTCATCTGTAATGCAGGTGGTGGCCTTCCTCCAACCCTTGCAGAGCAGCTCCATTCTACATCCGGGTGTGTTGTTTTACCGAGTTATGGAATGACAGAATGTGCTCCTATTGCGGCGCCACCGCTGGACTATGATCTCACTCGAGTTGGGGCGTCAGGCCTCCCAGCAGGCCCTGATCTTGCCATCCTGGATATATAACGACCGTCCTGCGTTCCTAGTGGTTCAACAGGGAGGATTTGTGTGAGAGGACTTCCTGTCTTCAACGGATATTTAACGCCCACTGGTATTGATAGAAGCGCTTTTGATACAGCTGGATGGTTTGATACAGGCGACCTTGGCCGTATTGATGAGGTAGGATACCTCTACATCACTGGGAGAAGCAAAGAAGTCATTAATCGCGGAGGGGAAATAATTTCTCCACTGGAAGTAGAGGATGCTATCATTTTCAGCCTCAAAGGATCCCTCGTCTATTATCTTCGGCCGCGTGACAGAAACCATGGCGTTCTCTACATCCCACGATGTATTACAGGAAGTTGTCGGCGCCGTGACTGTGACTCCTGCCGGATGCAAAAGACCTGATCTCCGGCAAATACATGAAGCGTTAAAAGACCGTCTAGACCAGCCTAAATGGCCTACAATCCTAGTCTATATGGACAATGTCCCAAAAACTCACAACAAACTCCGCCGCATACAACTCAGTCGCCGATTAGGCCTAGAGACACTTACAGACGATACCTTGCCGTCCGATTGTCACTACGAAGCAATTTGCCCTCAACCAGAAACTCCGTTAGACATCTTAATTGATCAAAGGAGATGTGCTGTACAGCCTGAGGTAACGAAAGCACATCTTTTCGAGATCTCTGGGATATCGGATGTTTTGATCCGGACAATCCCAATAATGGGTACCTTCAGGCTGTCTTGTTTAGTGACATTCCGTCTCAACTACTTCCTCATGAGATATTCAGACGTCTTCGCATTCTCGTTGATGGATACCTTGTTCCTAGTAGTATCAGGATCGTTGACGGGCCTGCACCCGTAAACTCCGGAGACACGATCGATGAAGCTGCCGTAGATGCTATAATTCGCTCTCAGGCCCTATCTTCCATTTCACCTACCGAACAAAGGGTTTGCGGTCTCTTTGCCGATGCTCTGCGATTGACTCTAGGTGATGTGACTCCTACTACGGACTTCTTTCTAGCTGGAGGGGATAGCTTAACGGCTGGACGCCTTGTCTCTCGAATTCGTCAAGAATTCAGTGTTCGACTTGCTAGTGACGTACTCTTTCGGCATAGTACAGTCTCTGAAGTAAGTATCGTCGTCGAAGAGGCCATGGCCCGGCCGAAAGCTGAAGAGAAGAAGTCGGAAGATCTCCCTGGTTGCTTAGAGACATACAGCTCCACCAACCCAGCCATCCTTCTACTCAACTTGATACCCCTAGGTGTATTCTCCCCAACACTACAAACGCTGCGATGGTCTATGTTTGTGTATATTCTAATTCAAACTTTCCGCTGGCGAATCCGTGACTCTGTTATTGGTCGGCTTTTCCTCATCCTTTTATCCGGGGTGGTATCCCGACAAGTGATGCATGTTTTCTCTCCTCTACTGGGTATTGCATTCAAATGGCTGCTTATAGGTCGATACCGGGCTGGTATATCCCATGTGGGGACCGTATCATTCTCGGTGGTGGTTGACCCAAAAGGTTCTACAGGTGTGTGGAAAGGTAGGCTGCTCTTGTGATACTAGTACTACTATGCTAAAGACCCGCGAGCATTTCCTGACTATTCAACTATGAATAGGGCATATTTGGCCACTTTGGCTTCACTCGAGTCTTATACTACCGCGCTCTAGGAGCTCGTATTGGCCGCAATGTTCGCATTCATCCGCAGGCTTCCCTTGGGGAGTACGACCTAATTGAAATCGGTGATAACGTCGTGCTCGATGACTGTTCATGTCGCCCCTTTTCTGCAGAGCGGAATACTTCTATGCTACTACAGCCAATTCGCATCGGCGCGGACTGTACCGTGGGCCTCAAGGCAGTCATTGCCTCTGACACAGACCTCCCCCAGGGAACTTGTTTAGGCCCAAATACATCTAGCTGGGAAATGGAGGACGCGCAAGAGTCAAATCGCGAGCTAGCTTCTGCACAAATCCCACAGCCACACTGGATTTGGTATGTATTAGTTGTGGGATTGCTGTCTTTGCTAGTATCCTTCGTCTCTCGATTACCAGCAATAGTAGCCTTCTTCCCTGTGGTTATGAAATACCGACAAGTTGAAAATGACATGCTCCGTCAACAGGTACTCTGGTTTGTGAGCCCATCACGTATTGGGTATTATGCTCTAGTGATACTCACAGGAGCTGTTGTCGGTCCGTTCGCTTGGTTCCTTGCTGTATACCTTGTTAAGCGGGGATTAGACTTAGCCTGTGGTCGACCACGACCTGGTCCACACAATCTGCGTTCCCAGAGAAAGATGATCTGAAGCGCCGTGTTGGATTCCATTCTCCCACGAGGAGACATATCTCGGTTGACTCGTATTATAGGGACACACTATGAACTCGTCTCTATTGCAGTGAGAATGCTCGGTGGACGTGTTGGTAAACGAGTTTACTGGCCAGGCACCGGAATTGCAATGGTCCAGGATTACGATCTCCTGGAGATTGGTAATGATGTCGTATTCGGATCCCGATCTACTTTTGTTACCTCTGACGGGGTAGGGAGGGATCGCATAGTCATCGGGGATGGAGCATTTGTGGGAGACCATGTTGTTGCTCTTCCTGGGGTTATGGTTGGAAAACGAACAACAATTGGGTCAGGGGCGCTGCTACGTCGAAACGGCTCATACCCAGACAATACAACCTGGACTGGAAGCAAGCATGGGGATGTGATACAATTTCCCTAGAACAATTCTCCTCGAAACCAAAGCCAAGAAAATTTGGATAAATTGGATCTGAAAAATGAAGACAGTGATACGATATCGCCGTTTGGACGAGCCTTTTACAATAGACAGGCAAGCTACTATGTGCTCAGGATCGGACCGATTGTCGCATACTCTACCCTGGCCGCAGCTATTGGGGCCGTGTACTCCGCTTCCAGTATCCTTACAGGTTTACTGGTTGTCTCTCGGTTGGTATAGATGAATCATATGATGGCTGGACGACACTGGTGGAGGCCTTTCATATTTTATGCAGCGTTCACCGTGGTTGTAGGAGTGGTGACTCTGATGCAGGCCGCTATAGCCATGGAAATCAAAATAGCTGCCAAGTGGATGATTCTTGGACGGCGACAGGAAGGATTTTATCCATGGGACCGAAGCAGTTACTGCCAGCGCTGGCAGATTCTACTCACTATCGAGAGAATTTTCACCGGGTATTCTGGGCGTATGAATGCGATGGTTTTACTGACTGGGACAGCATATATGGTTCATTACTACCGAGCACTTGGGGACAAAATAGGTGCTGACTTCGCATTAGCAGCCAGCGGTGAGGCAGATCTACTTATGACGGAGCCTGACCTGGTGACTTTAGGAAACCGAGTTACTATTGACCATGCCAGTTTGGTGGGCCATCTAAACACCAGGGGAGATTTTGAGCTTCACCCGTTGCAAGTAGGAAGCCGGAGCGTTCTCAAAACCAAGTCAAGGCTGTTGTCGGGGGCATCAGTGGGGGTTGATGCGTGCTTGCTGGAACATACATTGGTTCTGTCTGGAGACCATATAGATGATGGCTGTACGGTTCAGGGCTGGCCCGCCGAACCCTTCATGGAGTCGCGAGCAGGGCATTCCTTTCATCTGCCATAATTTAAGCAGTATTGTAGCATATTTAATCAGGCGGAAAATGGGTATATGTATATAAGTAAATGTTGTAATATATTTGAGACTTAGAATGGAAATAAATAAACAAATTTGACACTTGTTTATCAGCACAGTAAGGAATAGAGTAAAAGTTTACTCCAATTTATTACCCGGAATAAAGAAGCACGGAATGGACGACATAGAAGTCGATCAGTAGAATAAGCTACTGGGATGCGGAAAGGGTAGCATTGCCAGTTGATTGGCACCTTTCAGCCGAAAGTTTGGTGTATTTCAAGATAGCAATAGGCCGACTAAGTAGTACGGTTTTGAGCATGCTATCCAACAGCTCAGGCTCATAACTGAGTGTCCCCTTAAAACAAGTTTCGGTAGCCGCCGGAGTTTGGTTATGTGTGCAAGAGGCGCACCCTCCAAGGCCAATCAAATCAGCAGACAGCTGTCTAAACTTCTGCCACGGCAGCCTCTCTTGAAGCTCGGTGTAATGGAAGGGAGGCCATCTATCCGAGGACCAGTAGTAACATCTGGATTAACCCTTGGCTTCTCTGGATGCGATGCCGGCTGGCTTCCTCTGCGCTCAAGCTGGCCTGTATTCTGTCAGTGGCTTGCTCAAGGTCTGGCTAGCGAGCGAGCACCAAACCTGCAAATGTCGCGGCTCTCTGAAGGGTCCTGGAGCATGAATATGCCGGATGCGGTGGTATCCATCTCGTGATAGCAGCAGTTGTAACCGTAGTAGTTAACTGGCTGTTGTTGCTAATTGTTGCGGTTGTTGTTGTTGTCGTCGTTATCGTTGTTTGGGAGGAAGAAAGAAAAGCTGCGCAAGTGGTCGCTGTCGTCCGACGGGCGGGTTATGACGCTTTTTTTTGCTTTCGGCGACAACAACTTCAGCTTCTTCTCTTTTTCATGCTCGTTCTGCCTCCTGCATACACACGCTCTCTCTCGCCCTCACCTTGCTCAACGTACGACTAGACAGCGTTGCTGCCGCCTCCATCACACGCGACAGAGGCCTCTCGGTGACGGTTCTTTAGCGGGGACCCTTGGAAGGGCTGTCTGGACGGCCAGAAGGGGCTTTACCGCTTCATTCAGAGCATTGTTTCAAGTAAGTTAACCCCAGGTTCACCCCTCTCAGGGCCCTGTCTGCTGCAGTCTTGGGGATCATCAGCTCTCCAGCGGCTTGACAGTTAGCCTGGGGACTCTCACTTTCTTTGGGATACGTGATAAATAGGCCGGCTTGATGGTTGACTGTATCGCTGACTCTCCTACTAGGTTAGACCGCTTGCTAATAGGAAGCATCCGGGCACTCTAGACATGCTTCTCTAATCTGCCCTCAACACCATAAAACCACCTTCCAGCCGATATGGGGCAGGTGGGCTCTTCTCAAAGAACATCGCCAGGAACTACGAACGACAGAGACCAGCCACGATACAGTTACGGCAGCCTCGGCAGCACCAGCAACAATAATAATAGTAGTAGTAATGGCTTTCCAACTCCACCGACTTCTATGCGCGAGAGAATGAGAAATAGCACACATGTCCCTTCCTGGGCACGCTCCCCGGATAACAGTCGACATGAACCTCGGAGCAACACTTACTCGTGGGTTCCGGATGGCTCCTTGGAGGAGTTCCCAGCACCCGCTGGGTCTGTTACTCGAAGCAGCAGCGCCTCAGGCAACAGCAGGCAGTCTCGGATGTCTCGTCTGGGTACGAGAATACTTCCAAACTCCGTCTTGAGAAACCTGCTCAACAGCGGGGAGGAGACTCCAGCAGAAGGAAGAGCGCACCGAGATGGCCTCTTGTCCAGGAGCTCGGCACGATCAGACTCACCGCAGCCTACGCCACATCTTCCATCATTCAGAACCCTTAGTACCCGGGGAATAGCGCGGAGGCGATCGATTCGCGGGCCATATGCCCTCCCAAGAGGGGAGTCGGCTTTGTTACCTGATTCTCCGCCCAACCCAACTTTCTTCGAGAACCCGTCCCGCGCCCGAAATACAGACTCCTCCCGTCTATCCTGGAGGTATCGAACAAGGTTGAGCCACGTCCGACATTCAATATCTGCCCCAATATCACATATGTTTAATCAGAACTCGACTACGGCTTATCCAAGCCAGGCAACCTCGCCTGCTCCAACACGACCCTCCCGTGCTGGGCTCTCTGACGATTCTGACAGCCCACTAAACCTTCCTAGCAGCACCGAGCCGAATATGGATATCGATATGGATATTGACGACGCTCATGAACCTGATGATTCGGGGTCAAGGCCCAGATCTGGCTCAAGTCCGACCTCTAGTCACCACAATACTTTCAACCAGAGACATTCGACAATCCGATCTCGAGCAACAAGGTTACTAAGGCGAGAGGAGCAAACGCCGCTCTCCCGCGTCCTACAACTTGCTGCAACGGCCATCGCTGCGCAGCTTTCCGGGAATACAAGTCCAGCGGTACCTAGCATTCAATCTGTTGGAGCAGATGGCTTTGACGGTCCTTTGGAATCCCTCATGAGCGGCTTACAGCAGGCATCAGCTAACCAGGAAACTATAAGTAACCTTGATGCTCCCCACGATCCAAACGTTCCCCATGTGAACTTCTTAAGGGTGTTCAGATTCGTAAACCAGGACAGCCCTTCACCACAGCAAAACTTTGGTGAAGGAAGTGAGAACAATACCGACCAGATGGATGTTGACGGACAAGGCTCGACAGACGGGCATCAAGAACGACGTTTGCTCACCTTAGTTGTTGTTGGTGTGAGAGCTGTACCACCCGCAAACGGAGCTACGGGAGACGCTACCACCAACAACCGCCTAAATGTAGAATCTCTCCTCCGACTACCGCTTCTTGCTCCAGGTAACTTCCTCCGCAACGATAGAGGCAGCAGTAACTTTTTACGACGCTCAGATGGCCGTTCAAGATTCTCCCCCCGACGTTATTCAGTTGGAGGCAGCACTTTCCCAGCAAACTACGACAGCCAGCGTCATTTCAGGTCTCAGAATTCTTCCCGGCGACCCTCCGATGTTGGATCCTCGAGTGATTTAGCCAGCTCGCTCCCGACTATTCTCTCTGACAGTCCCCAAGGTCCAAACCCTCCTCCATCAACGCCAGCAGAAGCGGGCTTATCGAGGGTGTCGTCCGCCGTCAACACCCCAAGCAGACGGCCTTCATCTGCATCAGCTATTCTTCCACAGCTCAATGAGGATGGGATTGGAGAGTCGGGTGACCCGTTGGAAGAACACCCAATGGGCTTTAACCCTGCAAGACAGCGCCGTAGAAGCGATTCAGAGGCTGCTCGCCATCGTGGGCTGGGCTCCGGTGCTGCGCGAAGAAATGGAGTAGTAGAACCTGATGATCCTTCTCCATCTGCAGGCCGAAGCTGGTTAATTTATGTTGTTGGAACCAATCTGGCTGAGAATCACCCAGCATTTGCTGCGCCCAGTCTGTTCACAGATGTATGTTCACCCCTTTTCTCTGTAAATGAACGTGGACTAATGCACAATTCTAGAACCCGACATATGAGGACATGATACTCTTGTCATCCTTACTGGGCCCAGCCAAGCCTCCTGTTGCAACACAGGACGAAATAGCTTCCGCAGGCGGTCTATATCGTCTTGTAGAGTACTCCGGGGCTCTGGTTGCAGAAATAATCGGCGAAGAAACTCGGGAGAACGTTCCAATAGCTGAGAATGATCGTTGTCTCATATGTTTATGTGACTATGAGGCTGCCGAGGAAGTGAGAATATTGAATAAATGCAAACACGTCTACCACCGCGAGTGCATTGATGAGGTAGGCTCTCATTTACTAATGCTATAGAATTAAATGCTAATTCGTCTCTTAACTAGTGGCTGACAACGGGGCGAAATTCCTGTCCTTTGTGCCGAGGTGAGGGTGTCTCTAACTCCAGCAATGATACTGGTAGTGAGGCTGTGTCGGCCTCCTAACCCTATCCTTGCTATCGAGATACTTTACCCATACTACTCGCACAGCGGTTTTTCCCATCAATGGCGACGCCTTGCGTTCTTTCAAGGAGAATCCATCTTTAATATCATGACCTGGGGTCATGAATACGTCATAATTCTATTCCCCTTTGTATTCTTTTATGCCTTGCCCGCAGAAGATACCTTTCGGCGCCAACCTTTTACCGTTGGTCTGTATCTATTTCACCCCTTGCTTTATTTATTTTTTATTGTTTCTCCTCCACTTCTTGCATATTATTCCTTCGCAGCGCCCCTTTCCCCTTTCTTAATATGTGAATGTGATACTTCTTCAGCCTCAAAGCCTGTTTCTGCCCATTCAATTATCTCGTTTATCGCATACGTCTAAAACTTGCGCGTTTGTTGCTTTCTTGTCTCCTTTTGCCCTACAGCAAGCTTTATCCGGCGTTTATCTGAGGGATCATACAGCAAAAGGGATCGTGGGATATGGGATGAAGCTCATAATAATAAATCGGATCATGGTTGGGAAAGGATGGATGGACTGGTGGGCTTATTTAATGCATTTCTCTCCCTTTCAGCTCCTTTATGAATTCTTTCATACCTATATTTACACCTATTTATGAAATCATAAATTACTTGACGTACTTCTTGAATTCGACAAGTATTCCTCTCAACCCAAGCTCGCAAAAAACCCGTATATTTTGTTGTTTTCCATAGTGCTTAGAATAATGTCATAATCCCAGTAAGTAGTTATTATTTGACTCGAGGAGAAAAAATTTTCGTGGAATATGGTAGAGAATTAAAGAGATAAAACATGCTTCAAGTCCTCGTGCTTGACGAGCGTTGAGTGGGTATATAATATAATAGAAGAATATCAATAATGCAATAGAACCGCCCTGAAAGTGTTAGGAAATAGTTAACTGCGCCGATAATACTGAACTCCTAACTCTGCAAAGTAACGCCCTGAAATACTGTAACAAGCTGGTGTGTCGCATACGAAAGCCATGAGTCAGAGAGCCCCGATGATATCAAGGGATTTGCCGCTTTAGAACACCCAATCCTCCAGCTTTCATATCTTCAAGACGATCCTTAATGGCATTTCCCTCAGCTTCAACAGCATCATGGCGTCTCTTGATTTCTGCTTCGAAAATAGCGGCCACATCCCGTCTGGTTTGGCGGACTTCTTTGGATTTCTGTAACATTTGACAAAATTCGTCAACCAGCAAATCTCCACATTTTTCCCACTCTGATATAGTCACGGACGAAAAGAATACACGACGTTGATCATCTGTCAAATTTTTTAGGCGGAGGAGCTTGTCTTTTAGTGATAGCTGTGCGTCATGCTGAAAGAGGGGCTGGACAGGGGTTGGACTAAAGTCAAAGCTCTCCGCCTGGAGATCTGAGAATGCTTTTGTTTCCAGGATGTTAGGTGGATAGTCGGATATAAAGTTTGAGTAAGGACGCTTGGATGAAATAGCTGACACTGTAGAGAGATGGGGTGAGTGTAGGGAGATATGTTCTTCATGACGGGCCATTTCTTCAAACCCATCATCATCGGAGTAGTCCACAGCGCTGAGATCGGTTGCTGTATCAAAGGCTCCCCGGTTATGAGCCGAGGACTGGTCATCTACAGAATGATGCAGTTGCTGGTCCGCCAAATTCTCCTCACTATATAGATTGATATTAGATGTGACTGGATTAAAATAAAAGTCAGTCATAAGAAATGAAAATTACACTCACACTTCTTGATTTGGCTCCTCAGCATGACCGGAATATGGGTCAGGCGCAGCAAAATGAGGCCGTGCCGCAAACCTATTTCTTGTTGAAAGCCTTTGGGCTACCGGCCTGTGGGAGATTTTAGGGACTTCGAAGTGGTTGTTGGGCGGAGGTTGGGTTGTTAATGGAGTTCCATTTAAGTGACTGTCCCTGGCAATCGGAGCTTGATAGAAATTTTGAGAGTTTGGGTGAAAGGTTCCTTCTCTTTCCACATTTCTGTTTGGTGAAGAACTATCTTCTCTTAGGATTGCCTCAATCTTTTGCCAGCTTAGCGTTTCCTTCGTGGAATGGGCATTGTTGACCTCCCAGCCGGAACCATGCTCTCGATGGTCATCTCCTGCCTGTTCTATAAATTCTTCTTGTCCCTGATGTGCTTGGTTATGGTCATTTGTCCCTTGTATATTCCCCTCTTCGTCAGAGTCAAGCTCTTTGATTCTCTCGGCGATAGACTTATAACCACCGGTTTTTTGGGCCACAGCCGTGCCTGGGCGACTGGTATCTTCATGTGCATAATAAGGATTCCCCGCAACAGATCCCGCGTCTGTGTTCCGCAAGACGCTAAAGGTGGTAGTAGAATCATCAACACCCTCAAGGTCGGTATCAAAAATGTCCCCGGGTTCTTGATTTGCAGTATTAACCTCTTGTGGTACCTTGCTAGGTAGTCCATGGGACGTTGTGTTTTCTGGATGTGAATTTCTGTGCTCCTTGATAACAGAAGGACGGTTCAACCCATGTAATCCACCCAACGGAGCGGGCGGTAGCTTTATTTTGGCCAGCTCAACTTGGCGCTCTCTGGAATTTTGAACTAGCTTTGGGAGCCTCTTCTCTATCCCATTTGAATCCCTGCCCCCTTGGACAAAATCACTGACTCTCATGACTCTGGGATAAGTGTATTATATTTCAAGCTCGGTGTCTTAATATTCTTCGACGTCAAGATTCAATATAAACCCAGGGTGGTGTGTTATTGATCGTTGATTTGATGTCCCCGTGATGTTGAAATTAAGCTCAAGTGAGGTACATTTTAGGTTTGTCACATGATGGGCCTTATTTCCAACTATATCTTGAGGCAATACAAGTAAGATAATAGTAATTATAAAAGTCGATACCAGTTGGATTGTTGAGATAGCTATGGGCAGTTGGGCAGTGAAGTATGTTAATTAACTAACGCGCTTATACAGCGTGTCACTGCATGACTCAATTTTCATATCGGATGCGTTTACAAGGTAACAACAGAGCTTTGGTTCCGTTCAAATCTAGCCTGCGCTTTGTTGAAAAATGACTTTGCTTTCTCGAACTCCGCAAGCCTTTTCTCCTTGGCCGCATCGATTTCGATCCTCAGTATCTTGGCATCCAGATGTGCATTTCCACTACCACCACCATCATCCTGAAAACTGTCTTCGCCTTCATCGTCATCCTTCATACCAGCCAAACCAGACTCGTCGCCATTAGGTAAGACTGAAGATAGGTAAAGGTCACCTATCCACTGAGATACCATTCCACGCAGCCTAAGCAATTCGTGGCTATCCGAGAAAGGAGGAGAAACGAGCAAATCATCCATCTGTCTTGCAATCTGCTGAGCATCTTTGAGTTCTTTAAAACAAGCGTCAATGGTGGCCTTTTTATCATCCAACGACTTCTCATCCCTCTCTGTGTATTCCTCCATTCTTGTATCAGGGTCTGCATAATCATTGCTGTCGACAACAGACGCACCAGGGCTACGAGTCGGCTCCCCAGCTTCCCTAGCCAGGCGGCTCTCCTCTTGGGATACTGATATCCATAACCCAAACATGGCTGGATAGAAATGTAATGGACTTAGCGCGTTCGGCGCTGCCTTACGATACTGATATTGGATAATCAACCTTTCGTAGTATTCCTTGGCTCGCTGAAACCCTTCCCTTGTAAACCATGCTCTATCACCGTCAGTTGCATGGTTCCTGTTGCTCGCATCTGCTGGTTTACTGGCATTTGAGCCAGTCTGTAGTAGTATCTCTGCTCCAGTGGCCCACCTCCCTGAGTTCCTCACATCTACCGGGTGTCCGCCGAAGTTATCTCGAAGAATCAGACCCAGCGCCCTCCCAGCACGGAGATAGTCTCCTTCCATTAGACAACGATGTAAGATGGCAGTCACAACGCTCAAATGGTGAAGCCGGAGTGTATTTTTCTTTGCAGGGTTACCACCTGCTAGATAAATTGGCGGATTCAATCGAGATAGCTCAGCCTCTATTCGTTGCCTATTATTTAGAGATTTAGCACTCTTCCGTTTTGTGGTCAAAGAGTTTTCCCCATCTTGGTTACTGTCGGCTTCATCATCACTATCAAGGAAATCATGGTCGTCCAAATCGGCTTTATGGGGAAATTTACCACCTGGCAACTCACGATACGTTGGAAGCCCTGAGATCCTATATTGATGTGCTTCTCCAGGAGATAGGACTAGTGGTATTCTAGGGCTTGACTGGCGTTTCTTCTGTTGTTTATCCCTCGACTCAGGCTCGCTTTGTATCGCACTGTCTGTTTCATATCCATCACTGCCCTCTTGGTCCGAATCTTCGTTGTCGTCGTCATGTTCCTTTCGAAGTCTTCCTCGCTGCTTCAGATGTTCGTACTTGGCTGTCCGGTAGCTCACAGGCTGCTGCCACAACGGCAGTGGGAGGGCAAAATATGAGGCAGCTTGCTCCGAATATGCATTGGCCGACATAAAGTGCAGGTCTTCCCTATAATATACCAAAAGATGTCAAGGTTCTGAAGTTACCATGATCTCCGTCATCGATTTTGGCACCTCACAGGGGGAGCGCAAAAAGCTTTTCTTCGGCTTCTGTGCTTGTCAGAGCTCATCAATGTTTCTCTTGAAGGTAGCTGGAAAAAATCATTATCACGTGACTATACAACGGCGAAAAGAGATAGAACAAGACATTAAAGAGTAGAAAAATTATGGCTGTAAATTTCAGCATCTGTATCATAGCTACTTATCTATCATCTTATACTCGAGGATATATATATCTATAAAGGTCACATCTCCATATTTCATCAATTGCCCCTTAACTAGTTATAAGAACGGTAGCCTGTCCCTGCCTTAGTACTAAATCAGTCTTTAAAGGGCAAAAAAATGAAGGAAGCGATGCATGGAAGGGTTATCCAACCATATGTACAGTTGTTTCAACCGATGTGCTGCCGTGTCCAGACTTCCTGTCGACTCTCGCGATGACAATCGCTGACAACCACCCTTGAGGAGCTCCATAGTAGTATTCCTAAACAATTGTAGAGAGTATTAGGTATAACTAATTGGTATAACCAGACTTTGTTGTAGTGTGTAAGAAATATTCAAAGACTCACATAGAGAAGCGCATCGGTGTCTCAGCGTGGAAGGTGCAAGCAATGTCCGATGTCAACAAAAGTTCCGAGTTGTGTATTGCCCTTTCCGATCCAGGACGAGCAACAGGCCACGATTTCCCTATGAAGAGCCTTTTACTGTATATTTTTGTTGTCTCCGTCTTCGTAACCCTCTTCTTTTCCTCTTCTCTGTTTATTTTTTCCCTCCTCCTCCAACCCATCTCCTCTCATCGTTAACTTCTATCATCCGTGTCCAAGGTATGGTCCGGTAGAGAAATCCTTGCTAGTACCGCATGACTGACCGTTGTTTTTCACTGCTAACGATGACCTATCATATGAAGAATGACGAGATGTCCAGAAGCGACGGAACAGGGAATTTTATTGCCAAATAAAAAGGCAAGTATGACTTCTCAATGAACAGTAATGGAGAGGTGTATCGTGTTCTGAGGATGCTGATCTCCACGGGAAGGGTCACTCGATGATAACATCGCTAATCTTCTGTGAGAGAGAAGTGGTTTTTTCTTGACCTTCGCCCCGGCTAACAAAAAAAATCTCTCTTCTCTAGGTATGAATAGTTAAGGGGTATGATAAAACTCTAAAGGCAAGTATTTCCCTGTGATCAGTGATAAAGCAACACATATCACTATCTTGTGGGAGTTGTTTCCACGGAGAAGACCATTCAATGACTATGAGATGCTGATCTCTTGGTTAGAAGGGGTATATTCCTGGTTTCTCCAGTTTGCATGGAGAAGGGCAACGAAAGCTAACCAAAATGATGCTTATGTAGGTGCAGCGGCATAAGCGAACACAAAATGTATCCGGATCTTTCACCTATCCGTTTATCTATTTTTCTTGCCTATAATCTGGGTGCTGAGACATTGGCTTCGTGATCCTATTGTGAATTTTGTAGAGAAGAGAGAGGCAGTATAGAAGAGCCCTTGACGGCGTATTGACGGCATAAGCGTACTTTGTAGGACGAGAGATTGACCTGTGGAGGGCCAAAGAGCAAGAAAGAACAGTTCAGGCGCTAAACTAGTTATTAGTCATCAATAATAAAAAAAAAAAAAACGTTTGCAAGAATCGAACTTGCAGCCTCCAGAAAAAAGATAAAAGACGATTCACTAAATGGAGGCCCCCATTCGGCTATATCTCGTAAGAGTCAGACAAAGTCTGCTGTGTTAAATAAGAAGGCATCTTACGCCACCTAGGTCTAAATTATTTCATACTCGCTCGCTATAAACAAGTATGGATGAACGTTTCGGGTTGGAAAGGCAACACAGAATGACCGTGATACAGCACTACCTTACTATTGAAGGCCGCATCCTGTTGGAGACACATATGCAAGCGTGAATTTCTGCCGGTCCGGGGTCAACATGCGCCCGCAGGAGCAGCGAAGCAGTTAGTTATCGAGTTGCTACTTAGACGCTGGCGCGAGGATAGATGCTCAACAGTGCGGCCTAGAGGACACTGCTTTGAGTATCAGGACTTCTTCTATCGACACATTCAGAATGCCATAGATACCCCCGGCACCTTCATTTCGACTCTTTACGGTGAGACGGCTGCTCCACTAGGCAACTCATAGGAACCAGGCACAAATCGTCGAAAGACTACTCGCAAATGGAGCACGTATCAATGGTGGACTTCATGAAGCCGGAAAGTGCTTCATTCGCGCTCACAGAAACCTCAGGGGTTGTAGAGAAGTTACTAGGGGAGTGTCTGGCTTCTCTACTGTCAATAAATTGCCCCTTTAGCGGCGAAAATGATAAGAACGACCACATCAAGTAAGTATTGGTCTCCCAGCCAAAGATTTCCTCTTAACTACATGCATGACATCCCTCCGGTTGTCACTTCCGGCTTTCTACCTATCGGGGTAGGAAACATGGAATATGTATATAACTACGGAGTAAGTCTTTATCAAATGACGAGCCAGAAGGGGGGCTGGCCATCTTATGTCTTCGTCTTGTATTACTTCCCTTGACAGTCTTAATAACAACTGTAAGGCCATCTTCTTGTCGCTCGACCGGGTCCTTCCTATGTACTCATACTCAAATCGACATGATCCTTGCTTAACTATGATACCCAGCTTTCGTCTTCGGTGTCTCCGGTCGCTGCCTTGATCTCATGACTTGTGGCTGAATCTCATCCCACTCGCTGCTGGCTTGCTGCCGGGTCTGGGACAGGGGTTTATTAACCCAACTCTACTCGCTACAGAGGACTCCTGCCGGCCACAAGTGTCGTTAACCCCATGCCGCATGCGACGGGTTCGTACACCGAACTGTCACAAGAGCATGTTACCCACGGCTATGAGAGGAAGAGTCAAACCAACACCTTGAAAGCAGACCTGACCTGGAAACTAATAACTAGTTATGGATGACCAGGTATTTGGCATAACAGCTCCCTCGGCTGTTTTCATTACATAAATGGCTATAATAATTGGCCAGGAGTAGAAGAGTTCCCCTCATCTACCACCTGGACCTTTTTTTTTTTTTTTTTTTTTTTTTAACCAGAAAACAGATACTTTTTCGAGGGTTAGATTCAGGACGAACGCAAGCTTAGATTTTGAACGCGTGGCTTTTTACCATTGCCATTAACCAAACATATTCATGATAATCATTCTTCGCTCTCATACATCATATCGTTAAGGTCATGTCAGGTCGTGTCCTCGGGTTCGTACATCGAAGAAAAAAGAGGGGGGGGGGGGGGGAAGATGAACAAATAAAAAGGATTATTTTCAATATTTCCCAAGAAGTCAAAAGGGAGAGGAAGTGGAAGAAAGTTGGGAAGGGTCAGGTTCAGGGGTGAAATGGAGAGCTTGAAGCTGCCGATGCGCGAAACAAGGATGAAGAGACAAGGCTAGAACGAACAGACAGCAACGCGCGGAAAGAGGAGTGGAGTTACTTGAGCTAATACACCGAAATGGGGAGAGAGACTCAGGGGAGATGAGGAGGGATGGGGAAGGGGTAGAGTTCAGACAAATGAAAGGTATGTTGCTGTCGAAGCGGTGGTTTGAGAGTGAGTGGACAAAGGGAAGTAGACGACGTCGTGGTCTGTATATAAAAGTTTGGATAAAATCTCTGGGGAGCTTGTTCGCGCAAACGGAGCGAAATATCAAAAAGGTCAAAAGGGGAAAGCGAAGTAAAAGAAAAAGGATAAAAAAAAAAAAAAAGAAATGAGTAAATGAACAAGTGTAAATGAGAAAGCATGGAATCCATCAAAAAACATTAACAAGAACCCGTAAAAAAACCCCTCCTCTCAAAAAATGCGGAAAAGGAAAGCAACAAGCAGCGAAAACAATTAGCTATGTGTGAATGCGGGTATGAAACGGTGAATGCCTCGCGGCTGGTCTCTGGAGGGAGAGACTCTGGTCCCCCTCGACAAGGTAATAATGGTAGGAATATTTTCTGCCATCCGTCCGATCCACAGACGGCCCATAAGAATGAGAAAAGATGCATAACTCGCGAGGGAAGAAATAAAACATGGCGCATAGAACCTTCATCCAAAAGAAAAAATGCAAGACGTAGATGCGATTGGAGAGAACAAACGAAATAGGCGATGGATAAATCCATTATGGGCCGCGTAGAGCGATAGGGTCAGCAGTGCGACGAGGAAGTATCACCTACTGGCCGAAAATTCATTGCACTGGTAACGTTGATATTCCGTATTGTATACCGTAGGCTTGCTCAAGTATTTGTCGGTTGAAGGAAGATTTGCTGAAAAGAAATCAACAGGCGGCGGACTCCCTGCCAGGCTCCTCGGCCTTGACAGTCTTTCCAGCACACTCTCTCACCATGTTGTTGAAGTCCTGTAATACCTTCTGGGGGACGCGGTCCCACATTAGTGATCGCGAGTAGATGTCTGGGTTTCCATTTCCCTTGAAAGCGGCACGGTTCTGAAGCCCATTATTGCGCATAGCTGCGTAGGCCTGCTGCAGGTTCGATGGAGGAGCAACGTGGTCCTCGCCCATTTCGTCATCACCTAGAGTAGTGAGTGCTTGGTATTGCTTGGTAGTCATGGCAAAGGCCTGGGCCTCTTCCTGTTCTTTTGACGGTGCAACGAGGTTGTTATGCAAAACATCAAGATTTGTAGCAGCACCGCCAGCAGGGCCGGAGGTGATCTGGGCCATTTCACTGTTGCTGATGGTGGTGGGTAACAAGGCCCTGGAGCTGGGCAAGGGACCAACAATGCTAGCCGAGCTCGCCTCAGGAGAGCCGGAGGCGAGAACTGCACGCAAGACGTTTGCTGACTCTGCGCGATATTCTTCGGACAGAGCGGGAATGGCGGGCTGCGACGTGGAGGTGCTATTGGAGGCAATAAAGGCACCGAAAAGTAGGCACATGTAGAAAGCATTCCAACTGAAAGCAGAGTCGGACTGGGTCAACGGCTTCTCTGCTTGTTTCTCCGTCTTCTTGGAGCTGAAGTCTAGAGTGAATGGATGTCGAGCAGGTATAGGCGTAGGACTGCGAGGCTGCGGGCGCTGTTCGGTGTCGAGACTGAACTCATCCGATAGGGAGAATGACTCCCATGAAGGGTTGTCCATGTTGAGACCGCCATAGTCGGAAAAGTCGTTGCGAACCGCAGAGCCAGGGTCAGAGGAGTTACTAGAGTTCATCTCTATCCGCTCCAAATGTTCTCGAAGAATAGTGTTCTTCTTGCGGAGCTCGCCTGTCTCAAGGGTGTGCTTGCGGATCAACTCTTCCTTTTCCATGTGGAGCTGTTCAACAAACTGGTGCAACTGTTGCTGGCGCTCGAGCATTTCGTTCTTTTCCCTGATGAGTTCTGCCTCTCGAAGCTTCATCTCCTGGAGTGCCTCCTGGAGCTCATTAATGTGAGTTGAAGATCTTCGTTTGTCCTCCTCCAGCTGTTCGGTGTGAACCTTCTTCCGCTGGCGAGAGTCAAGGCTAGAAAATATTAGTAAGAGTAATTCATGCACCTATAGGGAGGGTAGTACTTACGCTGCCTGCCTGTTCCTAAGAAGACGTTTCTGCTGCTTGAGTTCCTTTATCTCGTCTTCGTCGTTTGACTGGCTGATCAGGAGATCAATATTACTCAGCGTCCGCTCGGCAGGGATATCGAAACGGGCGTTCTTCTTGCGAATTCCGTCTCGTCGGATGGTAAGACTGGCTGCGCTGTTTCGATATCCACCAGATGTTCTGACAGGTCGTGACTGGACTTCCGGCACTTCAGATGAGCCTGATACCCAGCCTTGGCTAGATTGCGGAGACATGGGAATAGAATTGGGAGCCGCGAAGGGCGGAGAGGCTCTGAATTGCATCTGCTGATACGACATTGGCTGTACCTGGCCAACGGCGCCACCGGTAAAGGGGTTGGCAACGGCGCCATCGAACTCTTGGGGGAAGTTCTCGTAGATTGGTGTAGGGGTACAAGAGCCGGATTCATTAGATACCGGCCAAATCGGTTGTTGCTGCTGGTGGTGCTGGTGGTGTGGATGTTGTTGCTGGGCGAAGGCTCCTGTGGGTGCATCTAGTCGCACAAAGGGATTGCTGACAGGCTCGAAGAGTGGTGTCGATAGTTGTGATAGATGCCGTGACTGTGCGTCGGTCTGGTGCTGAGCCATATCCGACCATACCGACTCTCTCCGCGAGAACTCGTCGGTGGCCTGGTCAAAGGACGTCCGCCGTGAGCTGTCCATCGACATATCTTGAGCACTGGTGTCGAGGATCTTGTCGTCTAGTACACTCATCTCCTCATCTCTGGCGAACATGGGCTTTGTGTCGAGGTTTGGAGGAGGCTGGAAGAAGTCAAAGGCCGGCGACGGAAGAGAAAATCTCGCCATCTTGGGGCGTGTGTATATCGGTTGGTGTTGTAAAAAAAAAAAAAAAAAAGACGCACTGGAGGCGGGAATGTCGTCAAGTCCCGCCGTACACAGTCGAAGAAATGAATAAAATCAAAATATCGAAAAAACAAAAAGGCACACTATGCAAGAATCAAGGGGGTCGTGGTCGTTAAATCGTCTCGTCGTAGAATAAAGTGTTCAAGCGTGATGGATGGCAGCGTTCGTTGTAGGAGGAAGGAGCAGAAGCGGAAGAAGATATCCTGCCTTGGTTGCGGGAAGAAGCGGTGTGTGTGATGGTTACGGTTGGCTCCCTTCGTCTTTTTTTTTTTCCCTCTGTGGACGGGCCAAAGAAAAAAAAAGATGGCGCGCGCAAGAAGTGGGCAAGGGAAGAGAAGAAGAAGAGAAGAAGAAACGATAGAACACTGTGCAACGTGCCTGGGAGAGAGGGGGGAGGGACGTTGATGCGGGGGGGATGGAAGAGTAAGAAGCGTTAGACGGGGATCTCGTTGCTTCTGCTGCTTTTCTCCTGCTCGTGTTGAGGTCAAGAGACACTATGGTGACGGCGGGTGGGTGGTGCTTGTTTAGTGATGGCTTGATATCTAGCAGAGATCATCTGCTCAGGGCAGCGGGGGCAGTTAAGATATATCTTTTGATCCGACTCTGTCGGTATCTTGTGAGTGTGAAGAAGGGTCAGACGAAGGCCGTCGTCCTTTAATACGGCCGTCGCGGTCACTCGTGGGTGCTGCGCAAGCCGTCTGGGCTGCCCTATCAACTCTCGACCCTCCCTGACGATGGAGATGCGATCGAGGCGTTCGAGCAATGATATCCCGACCCTTGACTAAGGTAACGAAGGTGGTGGTGAACGGGGGGGAAAAGGTTTCGTGCAAGAGAGCCACCTTCGTACCCGTCGACAACAGGAGCAGATCGAAAAAAAAATGTTGCCCAGCGGTAATGATAATAATCTGGCTGTTTGATTCTGTACCCTTTGGTAAGTTACAGCAACATCAAGCTGGAGGGTGTGGTGCGTCCGTGTGTCGGATGGGCGGTTTGATCCAGTCGCTGCGCTGCTTCCCATGTCCCTTGCGGGTGCCTGGAGCTCGATGTACGGTTCCCCGTCCACTGGACAAGCGTATATTCCCTTTTCTTGTCAGGCCAAAGATGCCATCTCTCGATTGAGGAATGCAAAATACATGGGCAAGACGGAAAAAGGAAAGAAAGAGCTCAAGCATGTTCCTCGATCTCATCCATCGTCATTTCTCTGGCTCTGGCGGCGACGGGCACGCTTGGGGATTGTCGACTGACGCCTAAATTGTACGGGGATGCACCCTCACCGGCAGTCCGTTGCGAATCCATCCTGGTTCCAGATCGACCAGCCATCGTTCCCTCGCCGGAAGTCTAAAAAGTAAGGCGACGAAACAGCGGCCTGCGTTAGCTTTGCGAGCGACTGTCATTGGATGCCTCTTATTGGGGTTGTCTTTTGGGGTTTTGGGCATACTTGCAGCTCTAGCTCCTGTCCTCTTTTTTATTTTCTATTTTTTTTATGTTCCCTGTATGGAGTGGACATAGATATTTGATCTTTTCTTTTGCGCCTCTGAATTTTGAATATTTTTTAAACTTCGACGTTTCTGCTCTGCCTGGGAGGAAGTCGAACCACACAGGTGGAATTCCGAGATAGTCGCCTGGCTTGTGCTGTTAAAAAAAGGCGATATAGTTACCGATCATGTCTGGAGATATTCGTTCGATACCTGTGAAGAACTCGGTCGAATAGACTGAGTCTACCCAGAGTCGGAGGATGGGGAAGGGATCTTATGTTGTCCGGTATCGCTCATCTTGGAACAGCTTTGGTGTCTTCTTGTCGAGTCCCTCGAGAGCATCAGCCCCTTCTGACACACGGCTCCTGTCTCAGAGAACAGGGGGGCCGAGTATACTAACTCCGCCTGGACTCAGCGGACATTCTCAGCCAAACGACTTATGGCTCCCAAGCAACTTCTCAAGCCGCTTCTCTCAGCGGAAGAGTTAAATTATATCGACTGGTTGAGAGCTTCTGTTTTCTGCTACCCCTTGGGCCGCTGTTCCTGCTCAATAATTACTTTCTTCCCAGAAGGAATGCGCTGCAAGCTACAGCCACAGACCACTCTCTACCATGGATCAGGGCCGGGGGAAATGTGGGCACAGAGCCTTGTGCACTCTGTTGATACATTTGAGTCCAGGAGGTTTCTTCTTTTCGCAATAATAACTTGTTCACCTCACGTTCATCGTATGGACGGTGGCGTTTCGCCTCGTCGCAACGTTGACTTCTTCATTTACCGCCGCCTAGGGTTACTTTACGTCGTAAGGCCCTTGCATTTGCTGACCAAATGAGCTACGCCGCACATCCCTAGGGTCACAGTTAGCATTATTTATCGAGTTCTGGGTACAGATACTCCTGTACGACTGCACAAAACCATCCCACATGCTGTGAAACTTACGTCGGCATTGCAACGGTCTTCCGCCCCTCCCGCGTACATACATATCCACAAAGACGGGGAGACAGGACAGTCATTACTTCTGTGTGTTCTGAAGATCTGTGCTCCACAAGTACTGCACGTTATGGGAATATATGGTCACTGCTTTTTAGGTTCCTTACCCTTCCTTCTTGTTATCAACGTGAGAAAAGAGGTCCATTCTTCCAGAAACTGAAAACGTTAGTATCGTACGATCAATTTTGCTTGAGTCCCAAGAATTAAGGAGCGGTTATAAAATGAAGGGTGAACAAGGAGGGCTAGAACCATCTATATCGGCCGGTGCATTTTTCACACTTGAGATTGCCCTGGTCTTGGTCTGCCAGGATGCGCGCGGCCTGCTTAAAGGTGTGTTTAAATCGGTTTTGTGCCCCTCGTCACATTATTACTCCTCAAGTAACCCGTAACGAAAAGGCGGATTGGCGGGACAAGCAATATTGAAGCCCATTTCCATCTATGCAACTAACTCTGAGCCAATCGTATCACCCGCTCTCACCGCCTAAAACGGGTAAAGGGTGAAAAAGCAGGCAAGTTTTCCTGTACCAGGAGGATGGATATCTCTTTTATTCTCCTACCGGATGGTCGTTTCTCAGATCAAGCAACCGCTTGTGTGGGTTGCAGCCTGAGCGCCTCACATTTCGGACATTAATAGGTTCAAGCGTGCAGCTGAAAGCCTTCCTTGCGCTCCCTGGACTTTTACTGGTGCCGATGCTTCTTATGCCCTGAATATACATGTATCTATATACATGTGACCTTCGGCTTTACCTTAGCCTGGTTTAATTGAGTCAGCTTAGCCCCAGGACCCAAGATGAGCTGCCCTTTGATTGACAGTTGAAATTATATGTTGTCGGTTCATAAGGTTCTCTGAACGAGCTAACACGAGGCTATACACAGCGGGCCTGTACTCGTAAGTAAATTTTTTGTTCCACCGTGTAAAAGATATCCGTAATATTCCTGAGCTTTGACGAAGACAACATGGAGAATTCTTGAGATTTCTAGGTCTGCATTGCCATGATACAAGAGTGGATATTGCAACTGAGATCGAAATCGATAAGCCATCAGAAAATTCCTTAGATTAGGTTGTCTCTAGGTTATATGCTAGTGCCTTGCGCAGCAAGCATAGTTGGCAGGAGTTTTTCGCTGCTCCACGGTGAAAATAGTGTACGGGCGTTATCTGAGGGTTCTCTCACATGATTCCTGGGCAAAGCGGGATGAACCTAGTTGTCTTTTTTTTTTTTTTTTTTTTTTTTTTTTTTTTTTTTTTTTTTTTTTTAATCCTGAGAGTATTGGAGGTGTAGAAATTAATAAAGGCAGGCGGGGGCCTGGGGTATATGGTATCGGAAGTCGGTGATAATAGTAGGAAGCTGAGATAAAACCTCAGTGAATATTATGGGGTATATGCTTCTTTCTATAAACGCGCTTCGGGGATGAAGAAAGGGTCAATATGGGTTATACTGGAATTGCCCCTCTCGTGGATGAACTGTTCTGTAATTTTACTGAAATCTCAAAAGGAATCCCGATTTGTCTCAGATCAACACGTTGGTGGCTGAAGTTTATCGATCTTTCATGAAATCTGCCCCAGTATTTTTATGGGAGAGGAAATTCCAGAGTAGCGGTGGTGAGGGGCAAGGATGAACAAAATGGATAAGTGGCTCGTCCTGAAATTGCGCCACGCTTCGCGTAGCTTCAGGTACGTAACCACATCCGCTACTGTTGGAGCGGTGTTTAGTGGCGAATCCGGACAGGTTTATGCAATGATCATATATGATTCCGTTGCGACGAGGAAATCGTCAAAAGAAAAGTGCATGCGGGGCGGAACGGACTAGCAGCTCTCTAGTTAGATAGCAACTGTCATCTCCGTGTCTGCAAACACGGGCGTGAAAGGAGGAGGTCCACCGGGCATGTGTACGGTGGACGTTGGGATATCTGATATCCGAAATAAAAAAGACGACTGGACGCGGTCAAAATAGTACTGATTATATAATCTATAGCAACTATAACCATTAGTTATAAATAGAAATAAGATTACATAATATGATGGCTTCGGTGCCAACCAATAAAATATTTCGAAGCGCAACTTCGAAGAAAACAATGGGTGTGGTTTGTTCTTGACCTAACCGCCCTCCAGAGCCTGCATCTTTCATGCATCACATTTCAGGCACAACAGCAGCTGGCAAATGAGAAGCTGAAACTCGATCTCAGACCACTCGTGCTCAAACTGAGACTGTCTTGCTCGTATCGAGTTGCGTCCCTTGCCATCCACCTGATCGAAACGCGCCCCTCAATTTACCCAATTAAAGACCAACCACCATTCCTCACCTCTGCTACTTGCGAACATCAACCCGGAAAACCTAAAAGTTTTGGCTCCGGTGATGCTCTTCAAGCTACGCGTGGGTTGGCTGAAGGTCCACTCATTTTTCAAGGCAATACCCCTCGCTTTACACTCTGGATGATTGGCTTAAAGCATTATTCTTGTCTTTCCATTCAATAGTGATGATTATACGGTCCTCCTGAACCTCTACCAATTCCACCTTGAAAGAGGATATCAAATCATCCAGAAAGATCCCCCTGAGACATTTCACATATTAAACTTTAAAGATTATCTAGCCTGATAATCACCCAGCCATCCTCCCAAAATACGGTAATCTCCCTTGAGGCATATCCTAGGCCATGATGGAGATTGAAATTCCCTTTTCTTAACTCCTATAAGACACTTATCGGCCGTGATATGTGGGGTTCATCTCTTATACTGGAATATGGAACCCAGAGACAGCTGCGCCTCCGCTTGCCTAGCTCCAGCCTTGCATTTCGACCTAGATCCAACGAGGAGATACACTGAATGACTCATAATCTGAACCAGTAATAACTGAGGAGTGTGGAATGTATTGCCCCATTTATGCTCGATTTTATGAAGTATTCATCCCTGTCATATGTGCTCGCCTTATATCATGCAGATTCAACACTTGAGCGAGCATTTTCAGGGCGGCTGCTTCCAGTCACTGCTCCTTTTCTGCACGTTTTCTTCAATTGTAAATGAAGATTTGTTGCCTCATCATCAAGATTATTCATTGCTTCTTTGGGCCCAATATACAATTGGCCCTTCCACATTCAGAAGGAAGAAAATGCTGAATGTTCAAAGTCAAACAGAATCTTTTGATAGCGGATACGTACATTCTTGCAGGAGAGAGTTATATCTGGCTCCCTTGCGCTGAGAATGGGTAATTTTACACCAGAATGCGCCCGACATCGGTTCCACTATGCACTATCCCCTAGAGCACAATAAAAAAAAAAAAAAAAAAAAAAAAAAAGAAATATTTCCCCATACGCCCCGGCAAATACACAATACCGGTTATATATTGACTTGAGGGGCCAGGAAACGTCATGGTGCATTTTAGAATTTCCCTCCTTCCACAGAGGAAATTCTGCATATGAGGATTTGTACAATGCATGGCAGCCCTGTTGGTAGATGTGCCATGTGAATTCTTAACGATGAGTCCAATGATTCTGTCTCTGCTGAATTTATCTCTATGACCACGAGCCCTTGCAATAATAAATTACCATATGGACTGTCTATGCTTGCTGGCAGATAAACCCGTCCGAGAAGCTTGGGTACCCGACGCATAAGACTCGCCAACCCACTTTGGTATTCGTCTCCCACATCTTATCCATGCAGCGCGCCTGTTTTGACAAAAAATTCACGGGGAATTGCTCCATCTAGCTAACCCCGAGGTGTGAGTATGAACTTGAAACATATGCTTGGTGAGTTGTCCGCTGGGTATATTTCTAGAAGTATTGGTAGAGCCCCGCCAGCTCATAAAAACATATGCTGGATTACGAGCTAGAAGAAAGACGTGGATATTACGGAGCGTGAACGGCATGGTTGATTTCCTATTATAGGTGTAAAATAATTAAAAAAGAAAACTGTTGACGCCCAAACGCCCGAAGGCAACTTATCCACCCAATATTTTTTTAGTACAAATGAGTAACAGTACAAAGAGGTATCATAGAAGCTATCTTAGTTCACTGTTGACCTTTGAGGCCCAAAAAAAGTAAGAGATTCTCCATCCAAAGATGGACAGATATCTCAGGTACACGAGGAAAGTTTCGGACTCAGAGGGGTAAAGATGCCCTCGTTATGAAACAAGTTGAAGCTTGTTGCCCAATTACTGACCGGCATTGGGATTAAGAGAACAATTGACTCTTACTCACACTAAGAGAATCCAATGAAATCTAGCTGCTGTGAAGCATCCCCACCATCGGTGCCTTGAACGATCTCTTCTGGTTCCTCCAAGTCATCGGAATCGACATCGTCAGAGTCAATCTCTTCAAACACCTCGTCATCGCTCGAGACATCCTCTTCAGAGTCTCCTTCAGCAGATGGATCTACCTTGTTAGCGGTAAACTTGCGAATTTGACCAGCCCTGTCAACATGAGGAAGGGGACATTTCTTATTGCCACAATTCCCGGTGTTAGCATAGTCAGGGCATTCATGGACGTGTCGCCCTTCACAACTGGCTCCTTTACTGCAATATCCTAAAATAGCAAAATCACGACAGACTGGAGCACCTGGCGTTATATGAACATGGGTATATCGGCAAGAGGGATTCGTGCATCGACCACGAAGGAAATGAAGACAAGCTGGGGACCTTTCAGGGCATGGATCATGTGAAAGATCACAGGCCACACCTGCATCACATTTACCTGTCTGTAGGAAGTCTTTGCAGATGGCGACTTTGTTCGGATCATGGACATAAGGGCAAGTTGGGCCCTTGAAACAAGTACCTATAATTCAGGTGAAGAAGTTGTTAGTACTCACAAACGATATGCTCGTCTACCCAACAAAGATGCGTTCATATCTAATCGGCTTGGGTGCCGTCGATGCCGATGGAATAAAATCTGCGGAAGGAGAGACTGGTACCCGTCGATGTAAACCTCTTGCATAGCTCGTTTCTCTTTTTCACTTTTTCGGGTTTTCTTTAATGTTGTGAGCCAAAATGGTCGAGAGAAGAATTAAAAACAGATAACTTTTTTAAGATAACCTGTGAAGGGAAAAAAAGACAAGAAATTGCGTACTTCTTTGAAACGACAGCACCTAAACGGTGTAGATTTCCCCGTTTGCTTCTAACAAACGTAACACCTCCGACCTTCACTCGTTTGGGGGTAACATTGGCCTTCAAAGGGTCATCTATAAACCATAAGCTGATCCTCGAACTTTTAATAGTGATCAAAAGCATATCCTCACTTGAAAGAGAGATGAGTTTGCTGCCACCTTGCGCAACTTGGAATGGTATATCCCCGACATATATGGTATAAGCCCTTCCGTCAGGCTGAGCTTCGCTTCTGTTGCTCTCGGAGAAACGTGAAGCAGACTGAGCATGCCGTAAAACCATCGACTCTTCTCGCGCAGCTTTCTTTTGAGCCTTCAGTCTCCGAGTCTCTGCTATTGCTTTGTTTCTGGCCTGCGTCTCCTGGTCAAAAATTGATGAGTTTATTAGCTGCATGTGGCGGTCTCTCTTCGCTATCCACGAGTTCTTTATGCCAGGCTTGGAATCGAGGACTTCATTGCTTGGTGTGGACGACGAGGCTCCTGTGCTCGCCGCGTCCACCGGAGCGTTTTGGTTGTTAAGCACAAGTGTCCGGTTCCTATGCGGACCCGCCGAAGCCCTTAATGCGCCCCTTCCTCTTCCACGATATGGCCTCCAACCACCGCGCGAATGTCGAGTATACTGTGAGCCCGAATATGTACCGCGCGTCGCAGGGTGAGACTGGTTTTTATGTTGGTTGATTTGGCCTGGTTGACTTAGTTACTTCCTGTTCAGACGCTGAGACAAGTAGAGCAAGAAAAAACCTACCAGCTAACTGGCCGATCTTAGCCAGAAGCTCCTCTTCTTCGGTCATGAAAATATCACCAGCAAGAAATAACTAAACCAGATATGAAGCTATGCTCTATACTAGAAAAAAGCAGTGATGATGATAGGGGTAAAGTAGTACGATGTTGTGAAGCTCTTTGGAGCGCGCTGCCGGGCCTTTATCTAATCATCGGATTTTACTTATTCCTTTCACAAAAGTTTAATTTGCTGCTACCTACCAATCAGATAGACGGCCCTTCAGGCAGGCAGAAGGTCCAAAGAACACGGTCTTAACCAATTAGTTAACATAAATATGCTTCATGTATTGTCATTTATAATACAGAAATGGTAGATGATGTGAAAGGCCTATCAGTCTGTTGGAGTAAGCACAACTAGTAGTAAGACCGTAATACCATCACACATTTTCAAACTTCACATTGTCATCTTCATCAGCATCGGTCCCTCTACCAGATGCAGTGGGCTCTCCTTCTGACCCTTCATCAAAGCTGTACCCGGCTGTTGGGGGTAATTCTTCCTTGGCGTCCCTATATGCGATGGCATCTGCATAATTACTTTCCCTTGCCTCGGGCTTCAACTCCCAAGTCATGGCGAAGTCGCCGCTTTTAACCAGATGTGCCACAATCTCCAGGGTTTGTTTGAGATACACTTCTGGTTGCTGTAGCTCGGCCTTAAGCGCCTTGAAGGGCCAATACTTGTGTCTCCGGAAACAAGCGTAGATAAGGTCCAGAAGCTCGTTCTGGGGCATACGGGCAGTTTTGTTTTCCTGAGCGCGCACTTTTGCCGGTTTCGCAATTTGCTGTAGAGGGTCAGACAAAACCCAACCACTGGAAAGGACGTAACTGGACTTACAATGAAATTGGACTTGTCGGCAGCAGCAACTGTCTTCGGTTGGAGCATCTTTCCGGGTACTTTCTCGATAAACTTGGTTTCTCGTTTGGGTTTGAGAGATTCCAATGCTCGCTCTTCTGCTAGTCTTTGGTATTCTTCATTTTCAACAGGAAGACAGTTGAATTCATCGTGAACTCGAGCAGTGATAGCCGTTTGTCCTGAGAGAAAGAGTAAGCTTCGTTCATAGCAAATATCCAGTCTGTCTTGGACATACTCGGTACCGTCTTCCTGACATAGGGCTCCCACTTCTTTTTCCGCTCTTTCTTCTTTGCATCACGTTTTGTCTGCTCGTAAAGATACGATCGGCCGTACGGCTGATTTTCATTGTAAAACCGATTCATCTTATCCTTATATCCTGGGAGATCCTTCTCCGTAAAGACAAATGTGTTCTGCACTGCGTATGCTGATCGATCTGCGTTCACATTCTGTCGTCTTAGGTTGTAGTCTTTCGGCACGCCTTTATTCTGAGGTATATCAAGTAATCGCAAGCTTATCTAAATGAAGTATGTCAGCGTCACTGTGTATGTATGTAGACTATCGCATATGAAGAGGCAACTGGTAAAGATACTCTTTTGATATCTGTCGGGTCTCCTTCAACTCTGACTGTGCCGATCTGGATTTCCTCATCATCATCGAGTTTGGACCACTGTTCCCACAAAGTCCTAGGTATCCGCGTCAACCAGACATTCTGGAAAGCGTTTGTGAAATCCAGGTCTCCGGTATCTTCATAGATGTCCTCGTCCGACATGTTTGTGTCCTTCGTGTCAGGCTCTTCCTTGATCCCTGGATTGGCAAGGGGTTCGGCCTTAATCTGCCCTGCGTTCAAGCTGGCCATATTCATATAACTGCGGTTTTGGCTGTGTTGTTGTAGCGCTTGTAACAGAAAGTGGAATGAATGAATAAATAGTTGAATGAAGTGTTGCTCAGTTGCGAAGCTTTCGTTCACTTCGATGTATGAGGTCAGAGACTTGATGACAAAGCGCGCGCCAATCTCCATCTTGATCTAAGAGCTTCACTCTCTTATCTTTATTTCGACCTTGGAGTTTACACTCAACATTTTCCGTCCTAATAGACCTATGCTCTCCCGTTTCTTTTACCTTCTAGCTTCTAGGTCATTTAACTAGCAATAAAGATGGAATCCCTCAACCGCGACCCCACAGTTGACTCCGAGTTTGCCAATGAATTTGCGGAAATCGAATCAACACATGATCAGCGAGCCAAAGCACAGCTTTACAGCGAGCTACTCACCAAAATAATCAACAAACCTTCTAGTTCTCTTGCACGAGACCTTACCCTCTTCTTTGGGGCTATTTTTGGCAGTGAAATAAGTGTCATTGCAACCCGGCCTCTCCTTGATAGGTTCATTAGCTCCCTTAAGCCTCTCCCCGCAAATATTAGGATACAAGTCGGACTACCTGCTATCACTGTCCTTCAGACGCGCGCAACTTCAGTTGAAGAGCAAGATGCACTCTTGCGTGAGACACTTGCAGATGCATACGAGGAAGTGGAAGAATACTCCGACGCTGCAAGAGTGCTGCAGGGAATTCATCTGGACAGCTCGCAGCGCCATATAAGCGATGAAGAAAAAATTCGTATGTGGATTAGGATAATACGTTTATACTTAGAAGACGACGACGCGGGTGGCGCTGAAATGTTTCTAAACAAAATAAAAAACCTACCAACCAAAACCGAGGACCCAGCTCTACAGTTACATTTCCAATTATCCCAGGCCAGAATCCTTGATGCACGACAACGGTTTCTTGAGGCCAGCCAGGAATATCTTGCTGTTAGCTTAGCTAGCGGTGTAGATGAAGAAGATCGGTTGCAAGCTCTTTCTGCGGCAATCAGATGCGTGGTTTTAGCTCCTGCCGGTCCCCAGAGATCACGAGCATTGTCCAGGTTATATAAAGATGACCGGTCTTCTTCTCTGGAAGAATATAGTATCTTGGAGAAGATATTCCGTGACCAGTTGTTGACAGAAGATGAAGTTACCAATTTTGCTTCTGGCTTAGTTCCCCACCAACTGGCACAGACAGCCGACGGATTGACAGTTCTAGATAAGGCAGTTATCGAACACAACCTGCTAGCCGCCTCTAGGCTATACGAGAACATCCAAGTAGATGATCTAGGCTTGATTCTAGGTCTTAAAGCATCCGGCGAGATGACTGCTGGCGAGAAGGCAGAGGCCTACGCTGCCAGAATGTTGGAACAGGGTCGGCTGAAGGGGAGTATTGACCAAATTGAGGGCGTAATCAGCTTCGACTCTGAGATATATGGAGATGGGATGACTGACCGTAGTCTGAGATACTGGGATGCAGGGGTTCAACATCTTGCTCAGGATGTGGAAAATGTAGCAGCGGCTATCATGGACGAGTTTCCAGTAAGTTATGTCACTCCATCTTTCAAATGACTGATGTTGACTTGCATCTAAGGAATTTTCTACTACTCAAATGGTGCATTAGCCTATTATCATAGCTCAAAAAATACTACTATAAATAGAGAGTATTTATACGATTAATAAACTTCTAATCGTTTGATTTGGTAGAATATGACTTCCACTCCTGCACTGCACATGCCTCCTACGGTCTATCTACTGGTAGCTAAGTGTTCTACCACTAATTATACTAGAATAGATTCAAAAGTTTGGCCAAACTACAAAAATATTAAGATAAAATAAGTGATGCTATCGTATTGGTCTAGCGCGAATTCGTAATTTAGCTGTTTACTTAACTAGCACAAACATGCAACGTATTCTAATTGATTATCTTTATTTCTGGTTTCCTTATTTCTCAGAGCATCATCGGTTTCACTTCGTTGAAAGGGTAAACAGAGCCACAACATAGGCACATTGTGTCTCCTGCATTAGATAGCGGAATAAGAGTGTGTCATGAAGATTTTGGGCGGCTTGCTAATATAATATGGGTCCTATACTTCAGCCAAGTAAGGGGTTTAAAACTGCCATTGATTTATCCACATGGCCATCAAATTTGCTGAAATTGGCCCCATTGATTGCATGGTTTTGCTTGCCTCTCTGGCCCTCCTCACGCAGATTGGCACAGACAGAGCACCCTCCCCCTCTACCAAGCTTTTGTAGAATGGGAGTAGCTTTAACGCGGGTTTCTCCAACATATCCTCATCTGAGGGCTTCTGAATCTTCTCCAGCTCTTCTATCCACTCTTTCATAGAAACTCGCTGAACTGCATAACGTTCGTGAAGAGGTGTCAATAGAGATTCCCATGGAGTGGTCAGTGGGTTGACCAAGTGGAAGACGGAGCACCGGGACTCAGCCTCTGTCATTCGACGAGATTCAATAATCTCTATGATTATAGTAGCAAGAGTATCCTATTCCAGTTTACGGTTAGCTAATTTTTCATGAAGTAGGTAGCTGGAAAGATAACGATACATACCACGGGGATCCAATCTACAGGCATTGATCCCAAAGTTTTGGGGATCTTTGCGATAGATTTCGACGTTAAAACAATGGATGGTAGCCATTCTGTTGAATTCCAGGCACCTTCCTCAGTGGTTGGGCCTGCAATCTGGCCTAGACGAAGAATAGTTGTTGGAACACCAGCTCGAGATGCTGCGTGACAGATACGTTCACAGACATGCTTAGCTTGTCCATATCCTTGATTCAGCGTTACTTCGCAATTGTCAAACAATTCCTCGGGTACCGACGGCCCATCAGCAAGTGTCCAACCTCCAATTGCTCCAATTGAGGAGTTGAAATAGAAATGAGCGCGGCGTACGCTCTGCAAGCTGAAGTCAATGAGCCGGCGAACACTTTGTATTTGATCCTCAAACGAATGCAGGGAAATATTGAAGTCCATTCTCCAGGAATTGTGGATAACCGTATCTACCGTGTAGATGAGTTCGTCGTATTTCTCCTTTTCCAGACCAAGTCGCTCTTTGCTTAGTGAAGCAGTAAGAAATTCGGCCTTTTCCAGGAGTTCAGTTTTGAGTCCCTTGTGGTCAAAGCTCTTAGTTTGCCGTTCCTCCACGTTTGATCTGTTCAGACAGTATACTTTGGCGACACTGTTATCGCTGAGAAGACGATGAAGCAGATAAGTACCAAGAGAGCCTGTGGATCCAGTCAATATCACGGAATGGGTCTTGGTGGCTTCGAGGTCTGGGAGACCAGCTGTATACTTGCTAAGAAGCAAGTTGACATTTTCTGAGCGACAAATGCCATTGCTTTCGACGCCATTTAGGAGCGCAAATAAAAAGTTGGACAGCTTTCCAACAGTGGGATGTTCATATATCATCTGAGGCGTTAAGGTAGTGAACCCTGTTCTATTGAGAACGATACTCAGCTGAAAGGTTTGCAAGGAATCAAATCCCACGCTGTAAAGATCTGTCTCATCCGCAATTGTGGGTAGGCCAATAGAGTCGCATATAATCTCCCGCACTGATTCCATGACACTGCCTAGATCAGCCGACTTATGGAACGCATAGTCAAACGCTTGATCTGCCGGATTCGTGTACAGCTTATCAATTTCTTCCTTGTAGTTATCGTTTACAAGGCGCCTCTGCGTACTTCCCTTTGGCGTGGTGCTGAAAGGTTTGCTGTGAGATGCTAGGCCAATCCTGTTCTTCATAACCCGTCCATAAGCTGGACTAATGTTGTTTGCTTCTCGTACCGTAGGCCAGATTTCATCAACAAATTGGTTTTTGGAGCCGCTTTCATCCCAAAGATTCCAGTTAGGTTCCACTAATAACGCTGTTTGGAACCTTGCTAATCCAATCACAACAGCGCGTGAAACTAGCGGATGGCCCTCGATAATTTTCTCCATGGTAACAGGGTTGAATTTCTGGCCGTTGCTAAGTACGATCACATCATCAATTCGACCCTGAAATTTCCAGAGCCTCGGTTTTGTTGGATGTGGAGTGTAAACATCCTTTGTGTGATATTCATCTAGTTCAGGGAAAGTATTAAAAATGGGCTGGAGGTCCGGCTTCTCATTTCTGAGTATGACCATTTCAGACCTACCATCATCCATTGGTTCCATTTTAATCCCGAATGATGGGCTCCACTCAAAGTAAGACCAGTCCTCCTTTTCCTGGGGAACCAAAGACAAAACAAATCCGGCTTCGGTCATCCCAATAAAGTTGATTAGTTTGGTTCGCTGGCAGATCTTATTCCCAATTTCGGATGCAAGCGGACCACCCCCATAGTATACGTGCCTTAGAGTTGAAAGTGCTTCCATAGCTTTAGGAGACGTAGACATATCCTCGAGAATGCAGGGGGCAACTAGTGCAGCGGTTGGCTTGAGGGAATCAATCACCGAAGATAAAAACTCGTTGGACACAGGCCGATCAGGTAAGATAACACATGGTATTCTGTGAAATGCAGCCATTACAAATACCGTGAAGCCCATCAAATGGAAGAAAGGAGTTGTAGCCAAGATGAGATCACTTGGTGTAAGCCGATCTGGAACACCCGCTGTCCTGTCTGGCGGTATAGGCACGTAAGCACCATGGTCTAGAGCGGCAAAGAAACCGTAAGTGAGCCGTATTGGCTTCGGGAAACCTTCATATACATTTGTTAGAATGCTAGAAGCCGCCGATATATTGTCATAAGCAATGCTTACCAGTTGTACCTGAACTATGTCCAATAAATGCTACTTCGTTTTTGACATTGTCGAATTTCTTTGAGAATGGGTATGGACTGGAGTTGCCTTCAAACATCTCATACAGAGAAGGAATTTGGACACTTTGCAATCCCAGGAAGAGCTCCTGTATCTTGTCCACCGTCTGTTTCCGCTCAACACTATAAGCAACTCTCGTGCAACCTGTCATCTCAAGAAGGCAAACTTGAGCTGCTTGAGAGTTCCGAATAGATGTTAGTTGCGGCTAGAATAACGTTAGAACTATTGATACCGTTGGATTAATACTTCCAGTTGTCACTTGCCTGATACCCAGTCTTATTACAGGCCATAACCATAATTAGGTAGCGGATATCGTGTGCTCCAAGATAGGCTAGTGTCACTGGCGAGGACGTACTACCAAAAGTTTCCTCTATCCACCAACACATGTAATTTACCGCATGGGCAAGCCGTTCAAATGTGAGGTCGGAAAAACCATCGGGACAGTCGGGGCCCTTTGGAATAATGCAAAAGCGTCTGTTTGGATCCAACTCAGCAACATGATCAATGGCCTGGGCCATGAATCTTCGGCCAATTGATTCAACTTTCTCAAGTGCCATGTTTGGGTATCACGAAAGTAAGCAGTCAATTACTTGCTTGGGGGGGCCTCAGGTGTTTATGGTAACAGATCTTATTAAATTTATCAGAAAAAATTTTCACCTATATTAATGAAAAGGGGAAGAACTCTTTAAGAGTTTTAGACAGAAATCCACCTTGCCAAAAGGGATTACATCTGATTCCAAAATCACTCTATATCCTCGGGCAACGTCAGCTCTGTTACAGAGTATGTAGATAGATATTTTGTACCCGATCTCCGAGTCTATGTATACGCAATCGCAAAAAAAAAAAAAAAATTACCTTTTGCCGTCCATTTGAACCGTGATCAGCCTTCCTATGGGCACAAGAAGAAAGGGGCCGCTAGCGGGTGGACAGCATTGATTACCCGCATTTCTTCAATGCAGATCACTGAGGTATTCCCAAGCCATGCAAGTTCATGCCACTGTTTTCCGATTGGTGCAGCCGCCTAGCATGAAGAACATACTCCGTACTTGCTATCACATCGCCACAGTGCCATGATGTCAGCTGTTTGGGCGTGTCTCTTTCCCCAAGGCTATGGGATAGGATTTACGGCTCTCTTAGCCCGATCCGGCCTATATCCAGTAGGGTGCTAGTCAAGTAGTAAAGCTATTTGACATACAAGTAATGCGCGTAGAAATTGTGGCGTAATAGACAGACCTTGGTGGGAAAAATATGCTCCAGAAGAAGCACATCGTGGTCATCGCTGACAGAGCCGTTCACCGCATCAGGGGCCAGGTTGCACGACGCCGCATTATTGATTCAGGGAATATAGACAGATATTATAATATACCAGCCCTGTGATGTAGTCTGCTAGATTTTTTGCTGAACTTCTTCCACATCCAAAAGGCTGCTCTTGCCGTCAAGACTAACACTGCTTAGGTAATAAATATCTATCACATGATATGCCGGGAGGTCCTCCATTAGCCGCAACTCTAAAGTGGAGTACTTGAAACTCTAAAATTTCCCAAGATCGAGTTCAAGTTGACAACGCGCAGTAGGCAGCAACAGATAGCTAAGCTCTGCGTACCACTGTAAACCAAGCCTATATGTCATATTCACTGAAGACATCTCTTTCTGCACATGCAAACTCTGCGTCAATCGTTTCCTGGCGGCGGCCAGAGCGGAGGTTGATCTTCACAGGAAATGGCTTGGGACAGCGGAGGAAACCATCTGTATAGCCAGTGGCAGGATCAGTGTTTATGTGAAGCGGATGGCCTTGAGTATCACGCATAGGAGATATGTTAAAGGCCCAGAGAATCTTGGCCATGGCGAGAAAGAGTCCTCTTTCAGCCAAGTGAATACCAGGGCAGATGCGCCGACCGGACCCATACGCATAATGATCGCGGTTTTCATAGTCCGGTGAGGAGGCGTATGTCGGTGCGAGATCAACACGTCCCTTAAATCTTAGTGGGTTGAATTCGTCCGGGTTGACATGTTTGCGGCTGTCATGATGCAGCCCCCATATATTGGGTATAACGGTTGAGCCAGCAGGGATTGTCATTCCGTCGATCACGGTTTCTACAAGAAAAGTATGTGCGTGTCAGCTGGGCAGAAGTGACATGGAGAATATTCTTATCAGGATCATCACTCACCTTTACTGGTAGCGTGTGGAAAAGCCGTTGGCAGAACCGGACGCCATCTCATCGTCTCCTTCATAACCATAGCCACGTATGGTAGCTTTTCATAGTCTCTCCATTCTGGGGATCGTTCTTCACCGATAATTGCGTCAATCTCTTTCTGTGCTTCCTTCTGCACATCGGGATATAATGCCATTGCCTGGATAAATGCAATTGTCATAATGGAAGTTGTGTCAGAGCCTCCTTCGAGAAGATTTCCAACCATCAAGTCAATTTCATGCCTGGTAAGTTGGAGTTTGTCTTGCTGGTCTAAAACCATATCTAGATAACTCTCGCGAAACTGCGAACCCGACTCACGGCGCTTCAGGACACGGTCAACAAGAGGCCCGTATACCTTGTCCATAGTTTGAGCAACTTCTCGTGCCCGTGACTTCCAGTTATTGAATAGCGACTCTGGGAGCCATGCAAGAAAGGGAAAAATATCGATGGGTGGTGTGGCTCCCGGTTCAAAAATTTCAGAGATACCGTCCAATACAGCATACAGGTGGCGCATATGCGGGGCGGAAGCAGCTGGCGTTCGAATGCCAGTAACTAAAGACACCAGTCAACAAAAATCTACATTGGGGTGGTATAAGGTATTTCATAGTAAATTGGAAATATTTCGAGGCACTTACCAAGGCTCATAGTAGTGCTGTTCGTGAACCTTTTGCAATGATTCATGAAGCTGTCAGGCTCAACATAGAGATCCCGCAGTAACTGGGCCGCTTCGGCATTTTGGAGGAGTATATGTTTCCTCTCACATGCCGTTTCGTTAAAATATTGGTGATAGAGTCTTCGGCCGCGTCGCCATCGAGCGTCCGGGCCCATGAACATGAGGTGGTCGCCATGCATAACCAGATGGTCAGCAATATAAAATTTGGGTCTTTCGCTGTAGATGGCAGACTGTCTATCTATCAACTGCTTGATCATATACGGGGAATTGAGTACAACAGCTGTCCCTGGGCCGATTTTGAGCGAAAAAATAGGGCCATATTTGGCAGCCCACTCGGTAAATCTGCCAAAGATATTTTAGATCTGATGGGTATGAGACTAGGGATTGTGTGTGTGTGCATACTTCAAATGCGCTCCGGTTATTGGGATTTGATGTAAGTTACCAATTATCGGGAGACACGGGGGACCTGGTGAAAGCCGATAATCAACAATGATAGATCTATGTCATATTCTCTCAATATAAATATACCAGGTGGAAGCTTTCGGTTTCGAAGCCCGGGAAAATACCCCCAAAAGAGGGACCAAAGGGTGAGCAGAATAAGGATGGCGCCGTAAATCCAGGTAGAGTCCATAGTCGGTGAGCTGAGGAATTGAAGATACAGGAACATTTTTCCTCGTCCAGCGCCTTCTTAATCATTTCCTTTGACTCTATCTGCCAGCTGTGGATAGCTGTTTTTGATTAAGAATTACCATTATCACCAAGTAATGCATATATGACGGTGTTGATCGGCCTTAATCTCGCTCACCGAATAATTCATCCCACACGGCTCGGAGGACATAAAGTTTCTAATCTCAATATCAACAAAACAAAACTCGAGGTACTGGTTATTTAAGAGGACAGTTGAAGGTCAAAATTTATGGGAATATCAAATTCGCTAACTGGTCTTGAGCTGTCCCACTGTCCCATTCATTACAGAGCCCCTCACGTCTTTTTACTATGTCTGCTCTATCGTTTCTGTATTCCCAGATATTTGTTCGTCTCCCAGTCCCGAAGCATGATTTCACTGGGCAAACCATTGTTATCACCGGCGGCAATGCAGGACTTGGACTGGAAGCTGCACGCTACTTCCTTAACCTGAATGCATCTGAGATAGTCCTGGGCGTTCGAAGCCTCGCAAAGGGTGAAAATGCAATCAAGGATTTGGAGAGTTCCACCGGGCGGTCAGGCCAAATACGTCTCTTTCATGTAGATATGGAAAGCTATGCGTCCGTTCAGGAGTTCGCTGCTGCTATTTCCAAACTGCCGAAGGTCGACGTTCTTATGCTCAACGCCGGGAAGCTAGAGCAAAAATTTTACATGGCGGAGGAGGATGAGAGCACAATCACAGTCAACGTTGTTAGCACTTTTCTGCTAGCCCTGTTGCTACTACCAAAACTTCGCGCTTCGGCTACCGAGAAAGGACCAATCCCTCGACTCTGTATTGTGGCATCCGACCGACATGTCATGACCAATTTGCCTGAATGGAAAACTCTCAACACCTTTGTCACTTTACGAAAGCAGACGAAGTCAGGGCCTGACGATAGGTATCACCCGAAGAAACCACTGCCCTAAATGAGAAAACGGAACAACAAGCTAACAGAGAGTAAAATAGATATTATGCCTCGAAATTGCTCCAAGTGTTATGCATGAGGGCACTGGCAGCCGATATAGCTTCCACAACTCCCCAAGTTGTTGTCAACGCCTTTACTCCAGGATATTGTCTCACCAATCTGGTTGATGGGGTGACAGGATTCTGGGGTCTCCAGCTTCGAATTATGAAATTGATAGCTCGATCAGCCCAGGAAGGATCCCGTACACTGGTTCATGCCGCTACCTTGGGGTGGGAAGGGCATGGAAAATATCTCAATGACTGCAAGATCGACGAGTAAGTTTACCCAAAACTGATCTCTGTGGCAGTTAAACGAAGCTAACAAGATTAGGGGCGCCTTATCCAAATTTGTGAAGAGCTCAAATGGAGCACAGGCACAGAAGAAAGTTTGGGGCGAATTGCTGGAGAAATTGGAAAAAATCTCCCCGGGAATATCTGGCAAAATTTAATAGGATACCTACCGTGGCAGTAAATGATAACTACAGCCACAGGTGCCTAAAGGGCTTCCGATGGGAGAAGCATAATAGTTAATGGGTATATTTCCAGTTTTTCAGTTTTTCTTTTTTTCTCTTTTCTTTTTTTCTCTTTAACTTTTCTTTTTCTTTAGCCCTTCCCACATGTATCCGATTGGATTCTGGCGGTATGAGGGGCTGGAAAACTTGTATATAGAGGAACAAATTCGCGAACCCTTAAGCCATTATTATGATATCTGAAGCAACCAGTTTTGCCATATAAAAATGCTTTATCTAGAAGGGATAGCAGTGGTTACAGGTGCAGGTGAGAACATACCAAAAAGAAACGCCCATCTTTATATGGTCTAACATGAAGTAGGGAGTGGGATTGGCCTTGAATGTGCTCTTGCATTCGCAGCAGCGGGCGCGGCGGGAGTTGTATTCGCCGACCTGGACGTATCCGTCGTTCAGAACAAGGCGGAGAAAAGCAGGAGCATAGCTAAAAATCCTTCATATAAACCACTTGCAGTTGCTGTGGATGTGACCGACAAACGCCAAGTTGAAGACATGATGGCTCAAACCCTCATGACCTTCAATAGAATTGACTACAACGTCAACTGTGCCGGGGTATGACCACAATAAGTTTCAACTTTCAAGAGAGCAGGCCTTGACAGCTTAACTAAATTTGCATAAAATGTAGGTGGCTATGCACAAACCAGTTCATTTCATGGATTTGACAATTCAAGAGTGGGAAAGGGTCAGCCAGGTAAATGTGCAAGGCGTGTTATACTGCATGCAAGCGATCGGCAAAGTGATGAGGACTCAGGAGTCGTTTAAAACCTCTGGGCTTCATGGACCGCGGGCTGCACAACGGGGTTCGATAGTCAATCTGGGGTCTATTCACTCATTCCAATCGGCTCCTGGGACTGCCCAGTATACAACTTCCAAACATGCGGTGGTTGGCCTGACCAAGTCTTGTGGTAAGATGCTTCCATCCTCCTCAGCTTTGCTATCATCTCATCGTTTGGAATGTTTGTCTTAACAGCAATATACAGCCCTAGATTTTGCTAAAGAAGGCATTCGCGTGAATGCTGTCTGCCCCTCGTGGGTCAATACACCAATGATAAATAGCAATGAGGTGCTTGCGGAAGTTCATCAAGTTGTCGGGAACGTTGTACCTCTGGGGCGAATTGCAGAGGCAGAGGAGGTAGCAGACGTTATCCTGTTCCTTTGCAGCCCTAGAGCGAGCTATGTCACCGGTGCTGCTTGGATGGTGGATGGTGGCTTCTCCTGCGCCACAGTATTGTAATTGTTTTCGCTTTGCTGGCCATTATTGATGTTGCAGCCCGTGGTCGGGTCGGGTGTTGATCTTCTTGGCTGGAAAATCGAAATTGAGATTACGTAAACTACATAGAGTTTTCTTTCGGCAAGGGAGATCCCGGTCGAACCTTATCATGAGTCCGTGCTTAAGTCAACGTCACTTCACTTCATTCAAGCCTCGATAACTCGCAGACAAGCACCACACATTACCGTTAGATATACCATAAATTGTCACCGACAAGTGACTTTTTTCGTGGTCTGGTTTAACAACTATTAACTAACTCAAGTGTCAAGCTAACATCAAAAACCAAAACTAGTGGTAATTGGCTACTCTGAACACGAATCTTTCGAATCGGCGACAGCTCGCGTTGAACATTGCCAGTCGCTCACAAGACCATGAGACCAGCTGAGAAAGGGCCGATTTCCCCAGAATGATACCCCGAATAGAAGCATTGCCCCCCTGCCGTAACCAGTTTTGAGTTGGTTCATCAGTGCCGCCAAGGACAGACAGTTCTACCACCGTACGGGCCTCGGCTACAGACGCCGTGCATTCGGCACTGTAGGCATATAAGACGATACAACTGTACAACAAAGCTATGGGTCTCAAGGGGTTCCAATATCTGTAGTACTCCGGCCGCGATGCACATGTTTTGCATTCATGCTTCTTCTGCAGCTGGACTGCATGGAATACTGCTTTGCGGCCATCAGTGGAATCTGCCCATGCTCGAACTGCTCTATGGGACTCCATTTCTTGCCGATAATCACCACTGAGCTGGTTTTCGAGAAGAGAAATATCCGCGTGAATGTTGAGGAGTGTCAAGTGGAATAGAGTCAGATTGAGAGTGAGCCAAAAATGTTGTGATTCCGAGCGTCCTGTGTAACATATGTGACCTCGTTTATAAGCTCCTTCGAGGTATGATTGGCAATAGTCCAAGTGGTTTCTTTGGTAGCTGAAGCTATTTTTCTGGCTTATGGACGTCAAAAATTCTGCGCCGCGGCGCAATGTCTGGATGGCCGACCATATTTCCACTTGGATCGCACAAAGGGCTAAATGACTATCCGGCTCTTCAAATGGATGCCGCTGATTATCAGGCAACTCATTGGAAGTCTGGAAAATTTCCTGGACGGCAGACTGGAAAATGCACTTATCACGTCCGGCTGGCTCGAACCACTGAATGCGATATCTTTCGGCTGCTTTTGAAGCTTTCCAAAGTGTTTCAGTGACAGGAAGGGCAAGACGAAGTTCTTGAAAGCGTATAGATGGAGGTCGATGTATTGCGAGGCTGAAATATACGTCTAGCCGAAGAACAGCATAAGCTAATCTGCGAGGGTTAGAATATCTACCAGCGCCGTCTTTATAGTGGTACGCACCTTTTGGTTTCTTCTTCATATATCCATCTGTCCTCTTCCGCATTATCTCGTGGCACCCATTTCCCAGAGAACATCCCCATTCGTCGCATTGCAGAGATAGCTACATCGGTGCCTTGAGCAGCCCAGTGGGCTGACTCCGACAAAATCTATTGTTGTTAACATTCGATCATACATCTAACAGATATTAAGGTGGCCATACATCCTCAGCTGTAAATGATATCAAGACTATCACAAGAGCCTGGATCGCCCGGAATATTTTAGTCAACCTAGAATAAAAGCTTTCCTTTGATACCGCATGTTAACATTCAGATGTCTAAACCAAGTGGCAGTAGCATACAACATACCGGCCCGGCAACCAAATGCCTCATCAAATCTGTGACCAGCCTATTCCGCTCTTCGTCCCTTGATAGTGGCCACTTGACTAATTCCAAAGCCCGTGAAAGCCACGGGGATTTGTCTGCTCGTTCCAGAGTAGTGTGGTGGAGGATTGCCCATGCATCATGGAACACTGTCTCGGGAAGGCAGGTCTGCCCCATGCTGTTTAAGCAATCAGGTTTATTTGGGAGCACTGGCTGGAATTGATTATTGCCTTCTGTCGAGGGCAAGGCTAGCAAAGCCTCTACCAAGTCAACATCACAGGAGACTGGTCTAACTTCTGACACCCACTCGTTGGCTGATGGCCAGTTGAATCTGAGATTACTTGGTACTTCGTCATCAGCTATGGTGCTGATTGTTGAATGTTTCTGCAATGAACTAGGGGTATCACCAGAGACTTTATTAGAAGTCAGCGGTGTGTCCCACGTTGTATCAACGTGGAATCCTATGCAGCCTGTGTTTTCATCCCGAGACTCTTCAGTTAGTTCCTGTGAAAGGATGGCCCGGGTGGGAGTAACTTGTGTACTCGATGGAACCCGAATACAAGGCACCTTCAAGCGGGAGCACGTTAAGCAAGGGTCTTCAGAGTTGCATTTGGATTTCCTATATCGGCATGTTTGACATGCCACAAGAGTGCGCTGGGCGCCTTTGAGGTCTGCATAGTGGATTGGCAGATGCCGCTCTAGGATGTCTCTGTCGGTCATTAATTTTAGTTATCTTCCTTCGCTCTTGGTTGCTGCCTGAACGGTGATTTAGTTTACCTCCTCGCAAACCTACGGTGACACGAATAACATTGATAAGCCCGGATAGGGTCGTGATTTCGTTGGTGGCGGTTAAGATGCTCCTTCCGAAGAAATGAGCGGTTGCAATTTGTCACAGGGCACTGGAATGGCATTATTTCAATAAAATATGATCCTGTTTTTGTTGGAATGCGGATACTGAGGGGCCATGTGTGAGTTATGGAAATTTTCTGTTGAGGCTGCACATATTAACAACCCCTGTGTTCGAACCGTCTTCCACATTTGCTAACCTTGATCTACCATCTCGCATAGGATCGACATCATCCCAAGATATGCACACGATATTTTCGATCCCAATTAACTTTATGCTCGGTTGATGATCAGGCTTTGTTCACCTACTTCCACGATTGCCCCTGCGGAGCACATTAACTAGTATGGACCCTCGAATAGCCCCTATTACACGCCATATCGCGGAGCCGTATCCCTTTGCCATGTCTGCGGAGATCTCTGATGGGTTACGAATACGATGGCAAATTATTTGTCCAAGGACGCATACTCCGTGGCTTCACTATCGCGCCGTCTCTGGCCATATTTTCCTCTTTTCTTCCATCACTTTCCACTAACTTTTAAGAAGGTTATATTTAGTTGTGGCTGAAAGCCACTCGCCTACTCTCCGACCAGTCTGGGATTATTTTCAAAATTCGTTTAGCTTGCTTTCATTTTCCCACCTTTCTTTTTCTTAGGAAGGTTGTCAGATGTCAACAACACCTTCTCCATCGCCAGAATATTCAGTGCCAGTCATAATGGCGCGATATATCGGCTCTCGTTATACGTTCGATATTGCTGACAAAAATGCTCGCTATCCTACGTAATTGATACCCTTCAATGCCTCCATCCAGATGGGCTTTTGCTGATACAGCACTCTGTCTTAACATAATTACGAGTGGTGCAAAGATGAGGAAATTAATTGACTTATGCCATTATCTCGCTGTTGTTGACTACGGATAAATGTTACTACGAATCATGAAACGAGTGGTGATTATATCAAAGGGCAAAACTGTCTTCATGGAAACCAGTTTCCACCCATGTCAGCAACCCGGTTAATGATATCCGGTGGCATACTCCATACTTGACCCTCTCTTCCGTCATCGGTCAATATGGGCCAAGCCTTTGTCCAAGCCATTCATCTAGGGCCACATATGCTTTGAATAAGCCACCATTATTTGTGTCCCCAAAGCGGTGTGATCACGAAAATACAAGATACAAATACTCCGAGGGCCGATGGGATGGATGTTGCTCCCGGTGGGGAAGAAGTTTCCTGGCAGGATCTGCATTCCTATCTATCAACAACTTCATACGTCGCAAGAATGGTGAATTTAACCTAGGTTGGAACATATTATGCGGTTATATATTTAGCCTTAGGTGAGCACACAAACACCCTGACAGATACAATCTCTAGGTGTGGATTGGCTTCTTGGCTTTTGGTTTCATGAAATATTTCAAATGTCTTCCATAATTACAAATACGCCATGCTCAAGTTCAGATGTCTGTACAGATTCTCCTGTGACTCCGTACAGCACTGAGGTATGCCAGCCTAACAATTGATTTAAAGACAAACATATTAACTAGCCCTAGGATCAATACAAAGATGTAGCCGTTATTGGTATGGCATGCCGCGTTCCTGGCGACATACAAGATCCTGAAAGCCTATGGCAGGCACTTCTGGAACAAATGGTTGCTTGTGGAGAAATTCCCGTCCATCGCTGGGAGCCGTATCATAAAAGAGATCCCGTCAACAAAAAGATCCTTGATCAAACGACAAGTCGAGGGTATTTTGTCGATAATATTGAAGATTTTGATTATCAATTCTTTGGAGTCTCGCCCAAGGAAGTTGAACAAATGGATCCACAGCAGCGAATTTCCCTTGAAGTTGCTTGGGAGGCATTAGAACACGCTGGTATTCCATCGAAATCACTTAGTGGCAGTGACACAGTTGTTTACTGGGGTGTCAACTCGAATGACTATTCAAGATTGGTATTGGAAGACCTACCCAACATTGACGCTTGGATGGGAATCGGAACTGCATATTGTGGAGTTCCAAACCGGATATCCTATCATTTAAACCTGACTGGTGCGAGCGTTGCCGTTGATGCTGCTTGTGCCTCTTCCCTTGTTGCTGTGCATCACGGCGCAGCCGCTATTGCGACAGGAGAATCACGAATTGCCATCGTTGGGGGCGTGAATGCTCTTTGTGGGCCGGGACTTACTCGGGTTTTGAACAAGGCTGGGGCTATTTCTCCAGACGGACGGTGCTGCTCATTTGACGAAAATGCAAACGGCTATGGCCGTGCAGAAGGTGCCGGGGCTGTCATTCTTAAAAATCTCTCCCAGGCTCTGCTTGATGGAGACCATATCCTTGCAGTTATCAAGGGTACTGCAGTCGGCCACAATGGGAGAACAAATGGAATCATGGCCCCAGATTTCAAGGCACAGCAACTTGTGGCTAGAAATGCCTTGCAGGCCGCAAATGTTGATCCTGACTCCGTACACTATGTTGAGGCCCATGCCACATCCACAGCACTTGGGGATCCAACAGAAATCAACGCCCTTGCAGAAGTTTACGTGAAAAGGCGTTCTATAAACAATCCTTGTTATATTGGCTCTATCAAACCAAATATCGGACATTTAGAGGCAGGCGCTGGGGTTATGGGCCTCATCAAGGCTATTTTGATAGTTCAAAAAGGACTGATACCGCCTCAAGCCAACTTGAAAACGCCGAACACGAAAATAAAATGGAATGACTCCGGCCTAAAAGTGGCTCAGGAATTAACGGGCTGGCCGGATGACACAGGACCGCGCCGCGCTGCAGTGTGCTCTTATGGCTATGGTGGAACAGTGTCTCATGCTGTTATTGAAGAGTTCCAGGAATTTTCTCCCATCCTCCACAATGAGTCAAGGGACTCGTCCGATGGGCACCTGCTTCTACTTTCCGCTCCACATGAACAACGCTTAGCAACTCTAGCTCAATCGCTCAAATCTTGGATCGGGCAACAAGACAAGACTCGATTTGATCTGGCTATGTTTTGCAAAACCCTTGCAGGACGCCGAAGCCATTATGAGTTCAGAACATCGGCAGTCATCCATGATGTTGAAGGCGCCATAGATGCTTTGGATTGTATGTGCAAAGGAGCAAACGATCAATGGATTACCCGAAGCCGTGTTCTCCCTTCTGATTTGGTGAAGGATGTTGTATGGGTTTTCTCTGGCCACGGAGCACAGTGGACCGACATGGGAAAGGAGTTAATAGACAACAAAATTTTCCGTGATGCAATTCAACCCCTTGATAAGATTGTTGAGGAAGAAACCAACCTTTCCCCTATTGAATGGCTTCAGTGCGGAGATTTCAATTCCTCCGACCGCGTGCAGATTTTGACATATATTGTACAAATCGGAATAAGCGCCTTGCTAAAGAGCCGTGGTGTCTATCCCCAGGCAGTTATTGGTCACTCGGTAGGAGAGATAGCTGCCTCTGTGGTTGCAGGTGCTCTTTCACCCGAAGAGGGCACTTTAATAGTGACTCGCCGAGCCACCTTGTACAGGCAAGTCATGGGCCAAGGGTCAATGTCCCTAATCTCCAAGTCTTATCAAGAGGTATGCGAAGAAATTAGGAAAGACAACGACGTAGAAGCGGCCATCGATTCCTCTCCAACTTCCTGTGTAATTGCAGGAACAAAGGATTCCGTGGCTGCTCTCACCGAGAAGTACCAAAAACAAGGAGTGAAAACATATACTGTGAAGACAGACATCGCATTCCATAGCCCAATGTTGGACCAACTGAGAGGGCCTCTTGCAGCTACACTACAGGGTGTCCTAAATCCAGCTCATCCACATGTGAGGCTGTACTCTACTTCATTAATGAACCCGCGCGGCACAAATCTTCGGGACTCTACGTATTGGGTCAACAATATGACCAACCCAGTGCGGCTTACTTCTGCAGTCCTTGCTGCCGTTGACGACGGTTACCGAATATTCCTAGAAATATCTAGTCATCCACTTGTCTCACATTCCATCAGTGAGACTTTGATGGAAGCTGGGATAGAGGACTACTCTATGATACATACCCTTTGTCGAGATCAGCCAGCTGAAAAAAGTATTCTCCATGCAATCGGTCAACTTCACTGCAGCGGAGTAATAATCAACCGGAATAGCCAGATGAAGGATACATGGATGCACGACGTGCCTCTGAGCCCGTGGGTCCATCGCCCAATAGCGCAGAAACAACCCGTCCACAGTACTATGGGTATGGTAGCGGATACTCATGATGTTGACACGCATACTCTGTTAGGTCGCCGCACCGCCTTAGCTGGCACAGATTTGGTTGTGCATTCGACTACGCTTGATAGCACCACCAAACCTTTCCCAGGGAGCCATCCAGTGTTTGGTACAGAAATCGTTCCAGCTGCCTGCCTACTCAATACATTTTTGAAAGCGACTGGAAACTCGTCACTGCAGAATACCATACTCAGGGTCCCTGTTGCAACGAGTGGATCTCGAGCTGTCCAGATAGTCATACAAGGCGATCAAGTGAAACTCATGTCTCGGTTAATACAGACCGAGAGCGTCGAAGAAAGCTCCTGGGTAACACACACTGAGTCTGGTTGTGCAGCCCGCACTAAAGCTATGGCAGAAGCGATTGATCTGTCTGGAATCAAGACTCGTATCGGGACTCGACTCGATGATGACTTCACAATTGACTATCTAGCCAAGGTTGGCGTTGCAGCTATGGGATTCCCCTGGAAGGTTATGGAGCATTATGGCAATACAGACGAAATGATAGCGAGGGTCGACGTGTCTCCTAATACCGTAAATCAGGACTGGGATCAGTCATCCTGGGCTCCATTACTTGATGCAGCTACTTCGATTGGGTCTACGATATTCTTCTCTGACCCTCGACTACGTATGCCAGCTCAGATCCAGCGGGTAGACATTTGGACTACCCAGGACCCTCCTAAAATGGGCTGGATATACGTTAAGAGGGACACCAGCATCGACTACTCTTCCCATGTTTATATACTGAGTGAGGACTCTCGATTGCTTGCAAAATTTACCTCCATGCGATTTTCAGAAATTGAGGGCACACCTGGTGCAAGCGGGAGCATGTCCAGCTTGGTTCATCGCGTTGCCTGGCCTCCAGCGTATCCTGCAGAGGACCCCATTCCAATTCAGAGGGTTATCATGGTTACTATGAGCAATACCATTCGGGAGACATACGCCAGAACGCTACCGGCCAAGATACAGTTGGATCAGCTTACAAGTATAGAGGATTTGTGTGAATTGTTGCCGTCCATTGGAAATCAGAAAGGGACTGCCATAATCTATATCCCAGAAGAAGTCCAGTCACTGCAAGAGGTGCCTTCAGCAACTGAAAAGTTCACCTGGCAGCTACTGGAGATTATTAAATATGTTGTTCAGAAGTCTTTGCCTATCAAAGTATTTGTGCTTACCACGAACATGATGGAGGCAGAGACTCCTACGGCACTCGCACACTCGCCACTATTGGGACTTTGCAGAGTCATTGCTAGCGAACATCCCGACAACTTTGGGGGGCTTATTGATGGAGAACAGCGTACGGTGCCTCTCACTACCATGAAGTATATCCAGAGAGCCGATGTCATTCGTATCATGGACGGTATTCCGCGAACAGCTAGACTCCGTTCTATGTCCCGAGACTGTCGGAAGCAGGAAGTTTCCAAGGCTCATCCCCGGCCCGAGGGAACATATTTGATTGCTGGTGGCTTGGGTGTTCTAGGCCTCGCCGTGGCTGAATTCCTGGTCAGCCACGGCGCTCGAAGGCTCGTTCTTATTTCCAGACGAGGCCTCCCACCACGGAGAACCTGGGATCGGGCCAATAAGGAGCTACAGCAAGTTATATCCAGGATTCGGGGTCTTGAGCAGCGAGGCGTTTGTGTTCACAATTTAGCTTTAGATCTCTCAACTTCAGAAGCAGCAAGGCATTTGCTGGAAAAATTGGACCAGTTGAATCTCCCACCAGTATTGGGCGTTGTCCACGCCGCAGGGGTGTTAGAGAACGAACTTATTCAAGAAGCCACACAAGATGCGTTTGCTCGCGTCCTCTCACCCAAGGTTGCCGGGTCATTAGCACTGCATGAGGCGTTCCCTCCTGATTCACTCGACTTCTTCGTTCTCTTCTCGTCATGCGGTCAGTTATTTGGGTTTCCCGGGCAAGGTGCATACGGTAGCGCCAACACCTTTCTAGACACCTTGGCTACACACCGCCGTAATCTGGGTGAGAATGCCGTTTCATTCCAGTGGACGGCGTGGCGTGGAATGGGAATGGGCAGTGATAGTGACTTTGTTGCTGCAGAACTTGAGAGCAAAGGCATCACTGATGTGACCAGACACGACGCCTTTCAGGCTTGGCTGTATCTCTTACAGTTCAATACTGATCATGGAGTTGTGCTGCGTTGTCGCTCCTTCGAGGAAGGAGAACCGCTGCCGACTCCCTTACTCAACGACATTGCTATCCGTCGTGCACGATCTACACCTGACTCACCCAGTGCCGCCGATGGTGGTTCTTCGAGTGGTGCCTGTAAGAAGCTTCCATCCTCAGGGCCAGAACTCAAAGCATACCTTGACGAACAGATCCGTGAATGCGTCGCCAGCGTCCTGCATCTCCCATCCTCGGACGTTGACTCAAGAATTGCACTATCGGATCTTGGACTAGACTCAGTGATGAACACTGCCCTTAGGCGGCTGCTTCAACGAACTTTCAATGTGAACGTTCCGCCTACATTAGTCTGGAGTTACCCAACAGTCAAGCATTTAGTTGGCTGGTTTTCCGAGAGGTTGGCTAAGTAAGGGAAAATACGGCCTTTCTCAACTTCTCTGTTGTTTTTCCTTTTTAATTCTGGGTATTTCCTTTCTTCTTCTATTTTGGGTTTCATTTTTCGACCAGCGAAATAACGTGGATACTAGATATGATGGATAGACGGAGGATGGTGTGGCCAATTCCGTGATAGCTGCAGTTAGACATGTCTCCAGAATGAATGAACGAATTTCTAAATTACCAGTTCTTTGCTCATCCATTCAGCTAGTTATCTACCTCGTAAAAGCATCCCCGAAGAAACCCCAATTATCTCTCCAATGGCAGGGCCCAGCGTTGACTGCATAGCTGCACCGTGCAGAATATGCGGTGACGCACTAGTTATCAGATCTGCCGTGGAGATTTGCAGCCCGCCGTCGATCTCTATCAGATCTCCGTATCATCTGATACGCCCAACGGACCCGCTGCGGCTCGCTTGGCGTCCGCCTCCTTATTTCAACCTCGCCCAAAGTCCGTCCGCAACGCAAAATCTAGCGTTCCAATCTCAATAGCTCCAGCCGAATCTTCCCCATAATATACCCACAAGACAGTGGCTCTGCTCATTGTCATTGTTGCGGGTAACGATGATGATCTTCAAGAGGCAAAAGGAGAAGTAGTTATGACGCCAAAAAGGTCTATCTTGATAAGGCTGCAGAGCGGGCGCCTCCATAGCGTTGGCAGGTGAGCGCCCACCAGATTCATCAATGTGATCAATGTCGATTCTTTTATGCAGAAACCTTAACGCCCAATGGCTGCAGACGAATATTTGAGTCTTCCAGTGGGGAAGACGTTGTTGCTTCCTGCAGGCGAGTTGTAGTTTCCCCGAGATTTGAGTTGAGCCCGACCCAAGAACCAGAGACAGCTTTCTAATAATAATGCCGATGGGATGACACAAAAATAAAAAAGAAAGCCTATGATTAACAGAGGTATCACCTTGTCATCGGGCCGCCTGCTCCAGTTCGTCACTTACACGAAGAATAAAGCTGCTTTATTGCTTGATCCGTTCTTCCCTTCTCGTCGTTCCTCATCCAGCAACAAATAATATCAGCCTCTTCTCTTGGAGCAGGACTCCTGACGTCCCATGGCCACTTTTCTTCCCAGCACGGCGTTCGGTAGCTGCATCCGGTGGCTAACAAACGGTCGATTATTTCAGTATCCAGAAAAGCAGGCCGGGTTTCAGCTACCGCCGAAATATTTGTCTGCCGTGGAACAAGCAGCACAACAGTCAGGGTTACGTCCTACCGAAGGCAGTGATGAACAACAAAACGAGAGCCTACCATCACCAGATCCATCCTCACCCGGCGCAGACAGCGGAGATCGGTCGGTAGATATAGAGAAAAGCGCACAGGACAACGGATTTCAATGGATAAGTCCCGAGGTAACGCCCGATGGTGCAATATTGGTTGGATGGTATTCTGATACAGATCCTGGAAACCCCCATAACTGGCCGTCATGGTTGAAATTCCTGGTATATTTCCAGATCAACTTCTATACCTTTGTCATCTACATGTCCTCCTCGATCTTCTCTATCGTGCAGCAAGAGTTCATGACAACATATGGCGTCCCTCAGTCTGTGGGCTCTCTTGGTCTCGCACTCGTCCTTCTAGGTTATGGAATTGGACCGTTGCTTTTCAGTCCGATGTCGGAAATCACAGCTCTCGGGCGGAATCCTCCATATATAGTCACTTTGATGATTTTCATGGTTTTAACTGTGATCACTGGTGTGGTTAATAACGCGCCTGGATTTCTTGTTCTACGGTTCCTTCAGGGATTCTTTGGCTCGCCGTGTCTGGCTACTGGAGCTGCGTCGTTGGCAGACGTGACCAGTCTCATCAACCTGCCTTACGGCCTTTGGATCTGGGGCACATTCGCTACTTCTGCGCCTGCAGTGGCCCCTACGATTGGCGGCTTTAGCTCCGTGGTCAAAGGTTGGCGGTGGTCCATGTGGGAAGTTCTCTGGGGCACAGTACCATGTTTAATACTCCTGGTTCGTTGTACCCTTACACTCTTCTATGTAAGACTCAAAATTAACTATAATCCAGTTTTTCCTCCCCGAAACCTCTTCCGAGACAATCCTCCATCGTCGTGCAAAAAGACTTAGAAAAGTGACGGGTAACGACGCCTTTAAGGCTCCCTCTGACCTCGACAAGTCCAAGTCATCAATTGGTGCCATAGTGAACGCCGCCCTAGTTATTCCCTGGAAAATCAACGCCTTGGATCCCGCCATCCTCTTCACCACCATCTACACTGCACTGGTCTACGCCATCTTCTACTCCTTCTTTGAAGTCTTCCCACTCGTCTACCTCGACATATACCATATGAGCCTACCACACATGGGACTTGTATTCCTCACTGCCATCGTTGCCGCTTTAACCATCATGCCGTTCTACTTTATTGTTACCCACTTTGCAATCTCCAAGCCCATTTTAAGCGGCACCTTCCCTCCACCAGAACGCAGACTTATACCAGCCCTTCTTGGCTCGTTGCTCGTACCCACAGGCATGTTCTTGTTCGCCTGGACATCAAAGAAGGAGATCCACTGGATCGTGCCAACGTTGGGATTCTTCTTCATTATGGCTGGTGTAATAACCCTACTGCAATGCATGTTTGGGTACATGGCAGTCGCATACCCGAAGTACGGTGCCAGTCTTTTTGCCATGAACGACTTTGCCCGGTCGACATTAGCGTTTGCGTCGATTTTATGGTCTGGTCCACTGTATCGGAATCTCGGAATTGCAAAGGGAACAAGTTTAATCGGGGCGTTGACGGCTGCTTGTGTGTTTGGGGTGTACGCCTTGTACTTGTACGGGCCCGCGTTACGAAAAAGAAGTCGATTTGCGGAGTAGGGACGTTGAAATGGTTCATGAGGTTTTACACTTACTTAGTGCATGACTGGTTAGGTTTCCTAGTTATGTGCGATGCTTGTTCGGTTCCACGGACTGTATATTAAGACTTATATCTACAATATAGCTAATGATAATGTGTACGTGTGTACGTGTGTACGTGTGATGTTCGGTTTACAGTAGCATGGATATGGCCACACTTAGCCCAGGTTTACCGTACAGTTACATGTCATTGATGTCTTAGAGGTACGGCATTACAATCTCGCCCAGTTCTAAATAATCAAAACAACAGGGATGAGGAACCAAGTTCGCTGACGGGACAGGCCGCAACTCTAACCGAACACTTGGGCCAGGACCGGATGCTAATCCTCACCAACACGTCAAGAACCCAGTAACTACGAAGTATATATAGCCAGCTCAGCATAAGTAACAAGAGCCTATTTTTTTGTTCGATAACATCCTAATTCTAGACTAGAGAGAATCTTTCTAGTTTACTTTTGTGTTTTTGATTCGATGATGCCCATGTCTTTTGCACCCAGGCCCAGAACCGAAGTCATCTCTCGCAGAATTCCATAACCATATCCCGAGCCCTATCCATATCCATATCCATGCCTAACTAGCTAGCTAGCCAGCCAGCCAGTTATATCCCTTCTCCATTCCATCGGGTCCATTCCATTTTCACTTTAAGTCAATGCTTTGCGTCAAGAGCAACAGGGCGGGTAGATGGGAGTATGTATATTGGGTACGTGGGTGTGGGTGTGGTATGGAGTGTTTATCGTCCGTGCTAAACAGTCCTGTCTCCACTTCTATGAAAGCGAGAGGAATCAGGTAAAGTAAGTAAGGGGAACGAATGAATAGGGAAAATGGGAGTTTGGAGTTTGGAGGGAGAATATCGGATGAGATAAAATGTTGAAAAAGGTGGAGAATGATCCGTTGTTGTTGTCGTTGTAGTAGTAGTAGTAGATATTCAGAACTCAGTTATTTTATGGGCCAGGTACTTTCCCTCGAGCATAGAGGGAGTCACTATTCTTTCCTTCATTGGGTCATGGCGGATATGTATGTATGATCTTTCTTGGGATGTGTTTGAAAATGGAGGCATGCTTGTCATATTACCTGTTGCCAGGGTAGAAGGGCCATGAAATGGAAAGATAGTGATGATAAATGAAAAAAGACAAGAGACAGGACTTCGATGGGGGAGGTATGGCGGGGAGACGAAGGATGGGGATGGAAGATGGAAGAGGTTAACATGTTGAAGAGTGAGTGATGTCGATGGGACCAGAGTAAATAAGGGGTAATAGACGCTTAGGATATATCGAGACTGCAGCTATGCTTCTCATAGTGCGGAGAACACAAAGAGCTATAAGGGTATCAGGTTAGCAAAACTGGCGTAAGTTTGATCACGATGAAGTAGAGGCTTACATTATTAGTGGCAGCAATGGCGATGCTGTCTTCAAATGGATGCCAGCTCATATGCAAGATCTTCTTGTTGAAATCAATCTGGTCAGCATCCGTTTCCTTCCTCATCCGTCCCCCCGCGCCGGACGGGCTACCGGATCTGGATCCGTTCTTCTTCCCAGCGTTAGTGGAAGCCGTCGAGTTGATTGGCGTCGGGACGCCGACCTTCTTAGCCTTGAACGCCGTCTTATCCGCCTGTAGTACGACCTCTGTTTCCTTGGTGGGGTCGGTCGGGTAAATCATAAAGTTATTGTTATAGCTTCCCGTCATGACGTTTTGGGCGTCACCAGAGAAGACGACTTCAAATTTATCGAAAATGCTATCATTTTCGTAGGTGTCGCAGAGGCGTGGGCGGAGGTGTTCGTGGATGGGGATGGTTTTTACAGGCTGACGCTCCATGTTGACATCCCAGATTTGACGGTAAG